AAATATATCCGGATATTAAAACAATAGCTCGTAATCTGACAGCATTTAGGTACCGCGGTCAACAACGAAAGCGCGGACATCATCCGCATGCTGTTCGACGCCTTCGACACTTTTCTTCCTCCAGAGCGTCGCGAGGTCAACAAGGGAGTGGCTGCCTTGCGACCCCCGCATATCCGGAAAGAGATGGATTCATTTCTCTCATGGGTATTCGACACGGTAAACAACGGCGTGTACAAGGTTGGCTTCGCGACATCGCAGGCATCCTACGACGAACATGTCAGCAAGCTCTTTCAGTCACTGGATCGTCTTGAGGAGCACCTCTCACAGCCCAAGCACTACCCATACCTTTTCGGACAACATATCACCGAGGCCGACGTTCGACTATACACAACGCTGATTCGCTTCGACGTGGCGTACTACCCCTTCTTCAGATGCAACCTGAAGATGATACGTTCAGACTACCCGCGTCTTCACGCGTGGTTGAGACGCCTCTATTGGTGTGATGGGCCTGAGACGAATGGTGGCGCTTTCCGGACCACCACCCATTTCGATTTGGTATGAGGAGAGACCAAGCTATCGCATGACAATTACTGACTTTGTTAGATCAAGGAAGGATACGCAGCTGTGACTGCTAGTAGAGGCGTTGTACCGATATGCCCGACACCTCCAATTATGCCCTTGTAACGACCGTATGTTTGTAATAGCGGCGCTTTTCCCACTTCGCCATTCAAATATCCAGCGCGGTATTCTGACTGCATCGACACGCCACGATTTACGTTTGTTCTGCAGCTTTCATCACTATTCCGGCCTGACCGAGATCTTTGCGCCTACATACCCATTATGCTATCTTTTCCAGCTTACACTGAACTATCCTCTGCCTTGCGCGAGATTCATCACCTGATTCAATCTGCCTGTCCGTAATGTTTGCGATGTCTCATTTTGCTGGCTTACACACGTCCAAAACCTGCCTCCGTGACAAGTACCCAGGCGCCTACGTTACAGCGAAAGTGCGAAAAAAGAAAGTGCATAAGCAGGCTTGAGGAATACGTGGAGATTTCTGTAAAGCATTCGCCTAGGCAGAATAACTGTGAGAACCTCGGCGCTATTGTATTATACTCCTCCTTGCAACATGAGAACCCCTTGTAGTTGGCTATGATCCAAGTCAGGAAAAGATTGAAGAGATTTTGATGCATTAACCTGGCTAGCCCTAGAGCCTAAACCAGTCAATGTCCCCAAGATCCACCTCTTCAACCTCCTTTGCTTTCCACATCCGTGCCCGCCTTGCCACCGCCTCTGGATGTTCCGGTGGCGCGACTTCGGGCCCCGATTCTGCCGGCCTCCAGCATCTTCCGGTCGGATGCTCATGAAATTTGCAGCGGTTGTTGAGCATGAAGTCGTCCCAGATATCGTAGTAGCGCACTCCTTTGGGGAATGTCTTTATCTGTTCGTGGACGTGGTGCAAAAATTGCTTGTTTGTTCTGGCCAAGATGGAGTTGAAGCATCCGGGATCCGTGCTCAGCGCGATATGAAAGGCGAGAAGGCGTTCCAGGTTGGAATTAGGCACGTTCTCCACCGCTTTGAAGACGCCATGAAAGAAGCCTACATCAGAGCCTGTTTGCGCGTCGAAATTCTCAGCTAGTGCATCCATGATGGCGTCGCGAAAGTCGACGCACCGCGCGCGGCTCATTTCAAGGCCGAATCGATAGGCGGCCAGCATCGTTTTGGTGTCAAGATTTCTTTCGGTATAACCTGGTTGTATTGTCGCAATCTTACCGGTTTCACACCAATGCTCGTATACAGATCTGACTGAGAGAGGCTGCAATAGTTGGCTTGCCGGGACTCGGATAACTGGGAAGTATCTTCCGGGCTCACGGTGTCGGTCGGGACCGCAATGTTCTATTGATTGTCTGTAGAACTCTTGTGTTTCTGCGTCCTCTTCTGGGAAGCAATCCCAGTAGCATTCTCGATCGACAATTATGGCGTGGTCTGACGGGGCTTTGATGTCGGCCATGGATGGGTGTGTGTTTGTGTATTGCATGTTGGGTAAAGAATTGAGTGAAGCCTTGTGAAGACTGGAGTGAGGTATATATATACATTCGGCAGTATATTATACTTGCGGTTTCTCTCATGGGTGAGAGTATCTTTTCGTCTGGGTCGTCGATGTTGCGGAAGTTGTAAGTGGCTCGTTTCGCTCTGCGTCATCGCAGTACCATGGGACATATACACTCGCATTCGCTATGATCTGTGCTCGGACTAGGTGGCGTACCCAATCAACTGCGTTATAGTAAGCGATAATTGTAGGATCCATGGATTGATTCGCTTGTTGCGGGTACGCTACCACTATCACTATTCAGCTCTTGTGTTAACGATACTTCTCTTTTCGAGAGGACCTAACTAAACACGACGCAGATATGCATGGATTGTTCCTGGTAGATTAACCAATTGTAGAAGCGAGCTTTGCTACGTTGCACCAGTACGATATTGAACCAAATGCGAAGACAGTGACTAACTATTTGGCCCGCTCAAATCTTCCCGGACACGAGAAGAAACAGTTACCTCGGTTCTCTTTGTTATAGCAGCGACATCGCCCATTATGAATTCCTCACTTCCTCTCTCAAAAGGCCCAGACACATGCGTCGCTTGATGGACTCCGCTCCCAAGCGGAATAGAACCTTGCCTGGTACTGCGCCTCGACTTCAGGGCGTACAAAGACTTCGATCTTGTTGCCGAGTTCCCATATGAGCTCTTTTGTGTCTTCTCAACAAACGACTTGAAGAGGGGTGCTAGCGTCGGCACCGATGCGACGATGATACCCAAGTTGTTCTCAACAGTCGACCACATAATGAGACTGCTAGAGTCGAGATAGTTGGCGAGGTTTCGAACCGTTCGGATGCGTAGGACTTGGATGATCGTGATGAATGTGCCTAGAGCTAGTAGACACAACAGGGCGACTTTCTTGCGCTTTTGGATGTGGCTCTTGAGGAGGACGGGGAAGGGTAGGAACATGCTGTTGAAGTAAGCTTTTGCTGGCGCTTGCGGAAGAGATACTTACACTACAATGTCGAAGACAATGGTCAAAGATGCCATGCTGGTGTAGAAGGGGACGGCTGGCAGGCACTGGCCCCAGGTGATGGAAGGGTCCCATTGTTTCGCGGCCGGCTGGCAGAGGTTCGTTTGCACGACCAGGAAGCAGAGGTGAAAGAGTATGCATGCGACTATTACGGTGATGGTAGCGTTGCGCGACGCGCCCTTTGGCATGATTCGTAGATAGGTCAGCAGCAGACTGAGTTTGAAGCCCAGTATACTGGTGATGTAGCTATGGCGAATGTCAGACAGGTGTATAGTGGTCGTTTCGCGATTATTGTCTTACAATGGTGCACCCATGTACTGTATCTAGTCCGGTCAGGATCGGAATGCGTTCAGTTGTGTGGGTGAGACTTACAAGTCCAAAGTTGAAGAGATTTTCATCCGGCATATCCTTCAGGTGCTTGAGTCCAAGTCCCCATTTCGTTTCTGGTGTTGCGCCGTCAGTCTTGATGTCACAGAAACTGTGCAGCTAACGTACGAACGATAGTCACAACGGCGAAACCGCAAGATGCTATCTGCGCAATTGTCAGTCCCACAGCTACAGCAGAGAGTCGAGTTGCTCACCCAAGTCACAACTAGTATCCAGTCATCTAGCAATGATAAATGCATTAGCCATGTGACGAGAGAAACCTCTGTGCCATGGTACTTACCGGCTCCAATGGCTTTGGTTATGCAGCCGCGCACGTAGAAACGAAGGGTCAGAACCAACAGTGACACTGCTGTGAAAACGATTGCGATTGCAGTAATTTGCGGCCCCTCGTTGGCGATATCATCGGGAGTGTTGTAGGTCCAGCCCATCGCACTGGCTTGCTCAAGGGAGTTTCGTTCAAAGTAGTGGTTGAGTAGCACCTCGCCCAAGGAAAAGCTGAACAGGCCCAAGGCCTACGTTAAGACAACGACACGCAAATGAGAAGACGTAGCGTCGATGTAGGTCTGTGGGTGTTCGAAATTCCCTTGATTGAGGTGGTAGACTTGTCGCCTTTGGGAGAGAACACATCAAAATACTAGGCATTGCGATTCAGCGTCTACACAGTTCCGACCGTTTCCAGCGTATTGGCAGTCGAAGAGGACGAAACCGCGTGGGGTTCAGCGCGGCCTTTACCCGGTCTATCATAACCCCGTCAGGAAAGCATGCCTTGATCGATAGCAAAGGAGACTCTCATACGAGGTGAAACCTGTAAATATTCCCAGTATTGTCCGAAGTTATAGTAGCCTAACAGTTAACGCACATGGTTGCAATGCAGCCCAAGTGTTGGCCAATACAAAAGACCTTCTTCTTAAAGTTAGACCAAATAATTCCAAGGCATATTGGTAACGGTAACGGGGAACGGGTTCGGCACTGCTCGGTGAGAAATCTCCTAATTTTAAGGGTCTAGAAAGACGATATGGGACGATTGCATCTCGCCTGGAGAGCCGCCGACCCGCCCTCGCGGTGGACGTGCTCGGTTGCATCGGAGGTTTCTCAATGTAGAAAAGCCGTGCGCGATCCCTGTTGATAGATGCGAATGGCCAGTACAAACCCCAGCTTCCAATCGATGGCAAACGCGCCGTCTCCGTACCAGCAGAGTGACTCCGACGTTACGACAGCTATCCATCAATCGCGTGTTCATGATGAGGCGTGCTCTCCTCCAACAGCCTGTGGTGCTCTGCATAACTCCGCGAGAGGGCCTTTTCTCGTAGACTTAGATCCAAGACAATCGGCGCCACGGCCATAAAATGGGGTCGCGGTATCATCCCGGGACGGTCCACCCCACCGGACACTAGATTTCTAGTCCCACAACTGCTCTAGCTTGCTCGCCACCGTCAAGCGCGGCGCATGCAGGGAGCCTGAATTTCTGTTTATATTAATCCGTACGTCTTGGAGATTGACATCGTCCAGGTCGCAGAACTTTATCTTTTTCCATGCCCTGGAGATGCGTTCCTACACCCTAGTCCTCGCGCTTCTTGGCGTCGTTTCTGCTAACCCAACCCCCAATCAATGCAAGTCGTTCCCAGGAGACAAGTCGTGGCCTTCGCAAGCAGAGTGGAACAGCTTGAACAAGACAGTAGGTGGACGTCTAGTGGCAACCGTACCACTCGGAGCCCCCTGCCACGTTCCGACTTTCGACGACGCGACTTGTGAAAGTCTGAAGAAGGATTGGCAGTTCGAGAAGATTCAGTATGTTCCACACAGGTGCTTTCAAGACGTCACTCTAATATTTAGTCAGTTATGAATCGTCTTCATCTGTAATGGCACCTTTCTTTGCCAACCAGAGCTGCGATCCTTTCCAACCTCGAGACCGCCCATGTGAGCTCGGGAACTACGTCCGTTACGCTGTGGATGCGTCGGGGCCTGCAGACGTCCAACAAGCGATCGCGTTTGCTGCCTCCAAGAACATCCGTCTCGTCATCCGCAACACGGGCCATGATTATCTCGGTCGTTCCACAGGCGCGGGCTCACTAGCGGTGTGGACACACCATCTCAAGGAAATCACCCATGTTCCGACGTTCAAGGGTTCAGAATACAGTGGCCCGGCTTTTAAGATTGGTGCCGGCGTTCAAGGTTTCGAACTAATGGCTGCTTCCCGAGACAAAGGCTTGGTCGTGGTTGGAGGCGAGTGCCCTACTGTTGGCATCGCTGGCGGTTACACACAGGGTGGTGGGCATTCCGCTATCAGTACTAGCTTCGGCCTCGCTGCCGACAACGTACTGAATTGGGAAGTCGTAACAGCAAGCGGAAAGCTTGTCAATGCGAATACAAAAGAAAACGCAGACCTGTACTGGGCTCTCAACGGCGGCGGTGGCAGCACCTACGGCGTTGTGGTAGGGATGACTGTCAAAGCGCACAAGGAAGCTGTTTTCGGCGGCGCCTCACTGTCGTTCTTCACCACGGAAAACGACCAGGACGTGTTCTACGACGCTATCCAAGCGTTTCACGAGGAGCTACCTGCTATGGTAGATGCCGGAGCAATGGTGGTCCATTACTTCACGTCTTCGTTTTTCATGATCTCCCCGCTTAACGCCTACAACAAGACGGAAGACGAAGTCAAGGCCATGCTTGCACCTTTCGTCGCTAGGCTGGACTCCAAAGGTGTCAAGTACACCGCTGAATACAGCGAATTCGACACGTACTATGAGCACTACGACAAGTACTTCGGCCCCCTTCCTCTCGGCAACATCCAAGTCGGCATCGCCCAGTACGGTACTCGCTTGATCCCACGAAGTGTTGTGGGCAACATCTCTGAAACCTGGAAGGCTGTCGTAGAGAAGGGAGTGACCTGGATCGGAGTCGGAACAGATGTGAAGGCGTTTGGTTCGGAGAAAACAACGTCGGTCCACCCGGCCTGGCGAAAGGCAATCGTGCACGCGACCTTGACACTTCCATGGAACTTCACAGCCCCGTGGTCGGAGGCGTTCGCAACTCAAGACAAGATGACCAACGAGATCATTCCTCTTGTTGAGGCCGCAACACCTGGTAGCGGATCGTACGTGAACGAGGCCGATTTCCGTCAACCGAATTTTCAGGATACGTTCTGGGGCCAGAACTACGCCAGGTTATTGACGATCAAGAAGAAATGGGATCCTTCAAGTCTATTCTACGCCACTGTCGGCGTTGGCAGCGAAGCCTGGACTGTTCGGACTGACGGTCGCATGTGTCGTGCCTAGTAGCTAGTTCCTGTCCTGAGTCAATATGAAAAACTGCACACAAGTCGCGTTGTCCATCTGATACCAACCTTTGACTAATGAACAGGTCATCATCGACCTCGCTTGTGGAACCGCCATCGTCGGCTCAAGCAATCCCCCTTGCATCACGATGGATCGAATAAATGAATAGTCTTTATGATAGAAGTCATCTCCACAACGCTGGTAGCACGCGTGTGCAGTTGAAAACATGGAAAGGTCGTAGCGCGTCCTGAACGCGTCCAATTCAGGTTCTCGAGTGGGGAAGCTAGCGTCAATGACGTACACCAGGGGATACCCTGCAGCCGCCACAACTCTGAGAAAACCAACTAACAATCATGCCTCCGAAAAAGTTGAACAAAGATGGGGGCAAGAAAGATGAAGAGAACACAGAGTCTAACAAGCCCGCCGTTTCCGAAGAAAAGGTGCGGCAAGAATCTGGGAAAGCCGCCAATGCTGCCCTCGCCGCGCAAAAGAAAGCCAAAGAATTGAAAGATGCAGCAGCTGCCGCCAGCGACCCAGATGAACGGGAAAGGCTGACAGAAGAAGCCACAAATGCACACATCGAGGCTGAGTCGTTTGGAAAGACCGCGAAATATCTTCGTTCGGGCGCTTTTCAGGGCATGGCAATGGGCACAGGCCTTGGTGTCGCGCCCGGTGCCACTTTAGGCGCAATAACAGGGACTTTGGTTGGGGGCATCTCTTCAACTCTGCTTGGTGGGATAGGAGCTGGGGTAGGTGGAGCGACAGGTGCGCTTCACGGCCCATGGGTAAACATGGGCAAAGTAGCAGGGAAGGGAATGAAGAAGCTCACTAGTTTCCTCCCGCAATGGGCAGCGAGCGAAGAGCAGAAGAAGACGCTGGAGAAGATGATGGGACAAGCTAATGAGGAGGAGATGCCTGGGACTGAGGAGCTTGAGAAGTTTAAGAGTGAGGGAGGTGGAGGTCAGATTGACGAGGGTTGGATGGAGAGTGCGAAGGGCATGATGCCAGACCAGAAAGAGGTGTCAGACGCAGCGAAGGCTGGTGCGCAAGCAACGGGCGGAGATTCGGAATCGAAGCCTAGTGCTAATCAGTCTGAAGAGACGTCAAGTGGAGACACAGCGCAAAAGAGCGATACTCAAGGTCGCAAAAAGCCACGGAAGCTGAATGCAAAGCAAGACGATAGCGAATCCCAATCAGCCCAGACGGACAGTATGCGCAACGATGCTGCTGAAGCATTCAACCCTAGCGAGAAATCCGATACACAAAACGGGGAGAATCTGGACGACCGAGAAAAGAAACTCGACCAACGGGCAAGTGAACTTGATCAACGACAGGCAGAGCTAGACGAAAGAGAAAAGGCCCTGGCTCAGCGTGAGAAAGAACTGGATTCAAAGCCTGACGGTGATGCCACGGAGTCTACTTCAGCGCCGAAACCCAAAGGTCAACCGCGCAAGCTCGCAAGTAGATCGTAGATCTTTAGGGTACGCTAGACAAAGGTACGACCTCACGCCAACCTAGGGAAAAACTGAACAGCCTGGAGCCTACGTTGACGTTGGGTCACCCACTTTGCAAGTTTTTGTCTTGATGTAGTCTGCAGACCTGTTCAGTCTTTTTCTTTGTATGAGGTGACCTCTAAGTTATCCTATCGACCGTATGGCGTTTTGGGATTTTATTGGTCGCTGCTATGACTGGGTTGCTAGGGTCATAGTGATGTTAGCAAGCTGACGATTAGTCGGCACGGGTCGCTTCAACCACGGGCGTCAGCATGCGAGAACCAAAGTATTTCGATTACACCAAGCTACAATATTTGCATCAAATCTTTCTTGCATCTTTTACTTTCGAACTCCTCTCATATCTGCTTCCAAACACCCTCAAGCTTTCCCGAACTACACACAACAACAATGTCGCGCCCGCCCTCTTCCGGTTCCGATACCTCCAGGTTTCTCAAACTTCCAGCCGAACTCCGGCTGATGATATACGAGCACATCCCGAACGAAGTCTTCCGGTACGAATTTCGAGAGGATGGTGCCACAAGAAAGTCCGGCTTGTCTCTTCAGATCGTTCAAGTGGGAACAGCCATCCTCAGTACATGTCGGCAAATACACATGGAGGTCATCGAGATCATAAAGAAGAAACAAGCACTCGCAGCCTCAATACCCATTAGCATCGCGATCACAAGATGGGGCGAGGGCAGTGTCGTGCTCTTTTACAGCCTTCACTACAAAATATACAACGCACGCCGGAATCTGATCGCACCAAGGGGAATCTATCCGCATCTCAGCTTACCTGGAAGCATACTTCTCCAGTCTGCATACAACAGACTGATACGCGCGTTGCCGGATATTGAGTTTGTCATTGATTTCCCTAATATGGGTCTGTATTACAATGCCAGAGCAGTGCTCACAGAAGTAGCCTGTTACAGAGGTTGTTTCGAATTCCAAACTACCGTCCGTATACCGCCTGGTTCGATTTCAAAGAAAAACTTTGATTTTTTCCAATCTCTTGAAGGCATTATTGTCATATGGGATGAATACAAAGACTGACTCGTGGACTGAGGCTGTCGTGGACGAGTACTAGTTGCACAGGTGGAGTAATGGGCCGGAGAAGTTGCAATTTATTTGGAGATTGCTAGTCTACTTGCAAGCTTCGGTATGCTCCGCAGCTCATAGCATTCGCCTCGTTGCCTCGTACGAAGAGCTTATCTTTTCATACTCGGCCTCGTGCGTTGCTGGTCCCAGTCGGTAGACGATCGCGAATGCACCGTGCGAGCATCGCTGCTACCTTCTCACCTTCTGGCAATTACGACAACACCTCGACCCTCGTTTCCACTCTTGCTTTACGGAAGCTGCATGCTGCCATGGTTGTTTATAAGATATCGCGCACCCACCACTTCTACTCTCACTACGCCACACCATTCTTCCGTCGCCGCAGCTCTTACGGTCAAACATCCGATAGCAGGCAGCATCCGATCACTCACCTCAAGACTGCTATTCTCGCATCGCAATCATGTTCTTAATGTCTGCTCTCCTCCTATTACTTCTAAATACCTTACTCTTCGCCAAAACCATACCTCGAGCCGACAACGTCGAGATCTACACGAAGCCTAATATATGCCTTCCGCACGACGGCTTCGGCAGCAGAGTGATCGCTTTCAGCGACCCGTGTGAGAACAACATGTTCCAGTACGCCGTCGTCACCAAATATACGACCTATTACCCCGAAATCCTCAAAAACGCCTTGGCAGTCAAGGGCTTCCAACTTTTCGACCTGGGGAATGATCAACTATGCGGTTGGACAAAGGCTGCAGCCGTGTATAGCACACTAGGGCTGGACTTCCACAGCCACCGCGGCGACATCTACTGGAAACACAGCGACGCTCACTCGGTTGGCGGCTCGAGGGATTCTGTCGACCCTTCGAAAAGGTCTGATAACAAAGCAGCCCGCCTCCCGTCTTCAATCGAGGATAGTGTTGTAGCCATCAGTAACATGCTCATCGCCAACCCGCCCGCCGGCGACGTCTACATGTTCAGTACCATCATCCTCGCCTGGACCACGAGTCTCTTCGGCTACATCCTCCTCATGCTGCTGCTCATGGCCTGCATCAGAAAAGCCGATCGAACCACGAACACATCAAAGGATAACGAGGTTGATGAGGGCATCGAGCTCGAATCTATCAAAGCACCTGATACAGATACCCTGGCGAGAACCGACTCCGCAGCGGCCGGGCCATTCGAGGACGTCAAATGGGAATATCCTAGCCCTCAGCGTTCTGCCGATACGAAGCGGGCCGAACCGCTTCCTGTGTACTCGCTATGGGGATCTCGTCATGCGGTGGCTTGATGCAAGGCTGCGCTGAGGCTCATAATGAGGACGTAGTTGATTCGCGTTGTGGTTTTTGGTTTCTCATCCCCAGTTTCTTGTGTCGTCGCGTTTGCTATACCTGGGTTTACTTTGTATTCTCATGGCGCCAGGTAGATACCTATTCCATTGTGTCTGAGTATGCTGAACGCTTTGGTTGTTGTCAAGCGCACGTCGGCTCGGCGTGCTCCCCCGATCCCATCCTCCTCTACCGTCTATAGCATGCGCTTTTGCTTTTTACATAGCCCTCAATGCAAGCCACATCACATGTAACCCGCACATTAGTCACTGCTGTGCGGACCATTGGAAAACAGTATGCACAGCGCCTGGTCATAGCATCGCCCCGCTGTCGTGATTCCGGGTATCTAACTCATCTAGCCTTTTACTTTACGCCCGACTTAAACTGCGGTCGAGTTGGAGTGATACAGTGCATACTCAACCCAAGCTCAAACACATGTGGCGGGGGTTGGATCGATCTAATTTCCGCCTATGCAGTCATTGTTACACGGAAAAACATTGGGGGCTAGTGGCGTTCCCGGATGTTGAGAACGGACCGGTGAGTAACGAATTACTCCGTAAGGCGGCCAAGCAAGTCGTGGAAGTTCTGTTGTACGTCACCAAGAGGGCGGGAATAAGCACAGTGTTACGGTACACCAGCTGCTGACAGTCTAGTAACGTTGGCAAGGCTGTATGCCGATGTCATGTCGCTGGCATGGAATGTAGATGATTGATTTAGTATGTTGGACGAGAAGACGTAACATTATGTGAAATATGCTACAAGAAAGACAATGGTGATAAACTACGATCGCTGACAACGAGTGAAAAGGCACGTTTGCAGTAGATTGAAGCCTTCCCTCTGTGTGCCCAACGACATATAACTCTCATGAAAATCCTCAGAGTTACATCTCGTATCTCGTCGGCGCTGTCCCATCGATTGGCGGTTTATGTGCGTGCTGTGGATCCAACTCCACCAAGCTCTCCGGTGGTGCCTCGTTCAGAGGAGGGCCGTAGTAACCGGAGTTGTTGTTGAATTGATGAGGATTAGGCCCGGTCTTGTACTGTTCAGCGATCTGTGTGCCGGGCATCGGTGACGAGGTGACGTCTTTCTTTCTGTGACGACGGAATAGGAGGAAACCAACGACGAGTCCGATTATGAGTGCGACAGGTATCCCGACGCCGATGCCGATTTTGGCTGATGTGGGAAAGCTGTTCTCGCGCGGTGCTGCGCTGGATATCGGTACGGGTACGGGTGCGGATGATGGCGTTGTCGTTGGTGTGCTAGTAGGTATCGAGTTTGCAGTGACGGAGGATGAGGAGCTCGCGATAGACGCTGAGCTCAGTGAGCTGGAAGGCAAAAGCGACGAGGAAGATATCGATATCGATTCGGTTTTGTCTTCGAGATAGAAATACCGGCTGAAGTCTTCTGGCTCTGTTGCGCCTTCTTGGTAAAGCGCCAATTGGAACAGGTTGGACCGTTTGAGGTTGATCTCAGGCCTGATAGTCCATTCTTGGTTGGTCCTGTTTACCACACTCTCTGTTGTATGTTGTTAGCCAGTGATTTCTCAGGGTTTAACAGTGTTTGCTATACGTATGATGTATTCTACGTTCGTAATCGATACGCCGGTCTTCGGATCTGCTTGCCACAGAATAATAGAGACTGCAGTACCGACCGGCGCCTCCGTCCAATACACCGTAATCTTCTCGCCTATAGTGTAGTTGAGTGCATTGCTCATGTCCAGTGCGACATCAAGCGATGGCGGGAGGATAAATTCCATGGGCGCTGGGACATGGACAAAGGTCCAACTATAGTAGCCCAAGATCCGACTAGAGCACGACAAAAAGAGGAAGACACGTGTGCTGGGAGATGAAGAGATGGTAGAAAGGACTTCGGGTCTGAAAACGTCTGTAAGCTTCAAGCGGGTGAAGAACAGGCTACTCGGAACTAGGCAAGCACCTAAGGCTGAAGCATGTACCTCAAACAGTAGACGGGAGTCTGAGATTGCGCCTGTGCAGTGACGCCTGAGGCTTACGAGCTGACAGTCACGACGGCAGCCTGGAAGTACTGGGCGATTGGAAAAGTCTGCGGCGTAGTGCGCTTTTCCCATACCAAGACGAGTCTGTCATGGCTAGAAGCGTGGCGCTGGAGGTCATCGGTCTGCGCACGAGAACTCCTGTTGATCAGCGTTGGAACTGTTATCTCGTGCATGCGGCTGAGCTTGGGATGTGCCTCTCAAACCACGTGTCACGGACGATGACTGTTACCTGTCGTTGGTACCGATCGTTCACTGGTCATCATCGCCATCCCTCATGAATCATTACCCTAGAGGGTTTACAATCGAGCTGAGACATATCATACCCTTTCCATCATTGGATGACAGGACACAACCTCACCAGCCGTTTGGGGCCAAGACCTGTCGTGGCCTTAAGTATCTGCATGTATACGCACCGTGGGGCGTAAGGCTGCGGATCCCCGAAATGAGCAACGGATCTTGGTAGCCAGTAAAACCTCCGTCTTTGGTTGAGGAATGCGGATTCTTTGTTGCGCACGTGGCTGAATATGCTGTACTACCCCTTGACACCGAAGGTTTTCGTGGGGTCCATGGCATTGGGTCATCCGCGCCATTTATTTCCGGAACTGTCAAGGATTGTCTAAGACAAAGCCTAGATTTGCGTTGGTGTCTAGACTGCAAAGACTCAAATGTCAGCAGTCGTGATTCAGCCTCATGAAGATCGATGTGGATGATGAAGCGTCTACATCCGCCTGCTTAGACATATTACAGCAAGCTTTCGTTCGGCATTCTGCTCATTCAGTATGTTAGCAAGGCTGCAATTCAAGTTCGTCAGCTATCAGTCGCTTTTTGCGTTGTGCGTCCTTCTTCTCATATACCAGATCTACACCATCCGCTCCGCCCACGATGACATCGCCCTGCCCATCCAGGAAACCGTCCAAGCGCCTAAGTATGAAGGCATACCGAGGGTTATATGGTACAAGCTGGGTCCTCGTGGCCTCTCGGAAGAAGCCCGAAACTGGACTGATAGCTGCATCACGTCCAACCCAGAGTACGAAGCGCACTTCATGACGGACGAAAGCAGCGACGAATATGTCCGAACCGCCTTCGCATCGAGGCCAGATATCGTCAACAACTACCTTGCGCTTCCAGTACCTATATGGAAGGCGGATCTGCTTCGCTACTTGTTACTTTGGGATCAAGGTGGCATCTGGTTCGATCTCGACGTCTCCTGTGAGAACATACCCATCGACGACTGGATTCCACCGGAGTACAAAGCGAACACAAGTCTTGTTGTGGGTTGGGAATTCGACCATGGCTGGCCGGACAATTACTTGCACCAGATGGAGATATGGGCCATCATGGCAAAGCCCCGGTCACCGCATCTGATGCAGGCGATAAATGACGTCTTGGAAGAGCTGGCCAAGAAGACCGCTGAACACGGCGTAGCTGTCGAAGATACTACCATGGAGATGATGGGAGATGTAGTCGACTTCACAGGCCCAAGGCGTCTGACGTATGCGGTATACAAGAGTCTGGGTGCTATGGTGAACCGCAACCTGGCGGGAAGTGACGTCGAGAAGCTTCTGCAGCCCAAGCTAGTCGGAGATGTGCTGTTCATGCCCGGTCGCTCTTTTGCGCCGATGACGAACAGATACAGCGCTGAAGAGGAAGCAGTACTATCACCACAATTAGTGACGCATCATTACGCTGGAACGTGGAAGAACAGCCACGGCGGCGAGCGTTGAACGGCCAATTCGAATCATACTCCAGAGTCGCGTCGGTCTGTTGTCGGCTCAGGCCAGGTGTTATGTCCGCCAACGCAATCAACAAGGTCGCTAGCAGGCAACAATCCGTAGCATCGATGCGCGTGTGAGGAGCGCGGGAGCTTCTTCAAAGGTCGATGCCACAGCCCTGATTTCCAGCCCCCAGGCCAGCACTTGAGGGCCCGGGCGGGCCCCGGGGGATCTTACGGCCTAGCGTGAGCTAGCATGAATGCAGCTAGGCCAGAACCTCCTGCGTGCTGCCCTACCTGTATATCACTACGATGCCCACAGTCTTCATTGTGAACTGGTTATGGAAAATGTAATGTGATTTCATGCAGATAGCTATAGTAACATGAACATCAGTTCAGAAATACAATCTCCCACTCATCCTCCTTCATGATCCCTCCCTCGAACAATCTCAATGCTGTCACGAAGTTGTCCCGCATCTTGTTCCACTCCGTAAGGAGAGCGGGCTGACAGTAGAGCTCGATTTTCTTCACTTTCTCCAGCTTGGGAAGGTGGTGTAAGACATCAAGCCAGTCGCCACACTCTATGTGAAGATTTCTGGATATTATTTCTTCTTTGTCTGAAGCGTCAATATTGGAACCTACTTGAAGCCTGATGACGGCATCAGCGGTGAACCCTCTCGACGAGGCCGACACACGTAAAGCGGACGGAGTATCATACTGGCGGGCTTGGGTAGGAACTTGCGAGCTTTGTCCAGCCATGATAGGTTGATGTGATGAAGGTTCGGTGAGACGCTGAAGAAGGGGTGATGTGGGTATTTATGTGTAGCCGATATGATTGCTGTCTTTACCAGCTGATATGACCACCGCGGTCTGAAGCCATGTGATGTTTGTTGTAGGACATTCAGGGCTCCTGATCACCGAACGGATAGTTGAACTTGAGGAGAGCATTCAGTCCACCAACCCAGTGGTCCTCAGCCATATCTTCCTTGCCGCTTGTGCCACGCACGATGCTAGGCACACCACCCTCCCAGCCCCGCGCGTCTCGTTTGACCTCTTCCCCACCTATGCGGACTTCCATACCCGTGCCCAGTTTCTCTGTAATGGTATTTCCGTCGATGCTGACCTCGACTTCGCGACCACGATTCTTCTTGCCTAGCCGCAGTGTAATTGGTGTCTGAGCTGGCAGCACCAGTGGTCTGAAGGAAAGCGATCGAGGGCAGATGGGCGTAAGGCATATCGACGGTACGAGGGGGTGTACGATGCTTCCTCCAGAGGACAACGAGTATGCTGTGGATCCAGTAGGCGAGCTGATGATCATGCCATCAGCGACTGCCTCGGTCAGGAAGCGGTTGTTGATGTAGACGTCGATGATCTTCAGGTGCGGGCTGGAGCCACGGTGAAGCGTGACCTCATTCAGCGCGTAGGTGTCGCCCTCTCCTTCGATGCCACTGATTCTCTTTCCATCAGGCCCGAAGACGCCCACCTTCAGCCTGTTGCGCAACAAGATGCGCGCTGTTCTGTTGCTTCCCATGGCCTTACCTCGTATGTCGGCGTAGCTCAGTGGCTTGTCCAGAGGGTCATCGGGCGATGTAGGTGGTGTGGGTGGAATCGTCCCATGCGAGTCGGAGAGGGTAGCGTAAGTGTCTGGCGCGCCGCTCATGTATACCTCCCGAAACGCTCTCTTATATTCCCTGAACTTGAACTCGCCCAAGAAGCCGATGGTGCCCATGGCGAAGCTCAGTACAGGAGGTACATTCTCTGCATGGCTGAACAGGCTGCTAGCCCTCAGCAGCGTGCCGTCGCCTCCAAGCGTGCAGACCAAGTCGGTTTTATCCGAAAGGTACTGCGGTGCGCCTTGGCTCTGCTTGTATGTGTATACGGGAAACGCAAGTTGCTCGTGAAGCTCTTGGGCTGTCTCGGGATCGAAGATGACGTTTATCGACGGGTAGGTGGAGCGTATGTGGGACGTGAATTCTATGACGGACTCGGTGATGTTTGGCGTGCGCTTCTTTTTGGTGACGAGGATGTTGCGCGGTGGGGACGGCCATTGCAGGCTCAGCAGGGTATTCGAGGGCGACTGTATGTATGACGGCGTCGTGCGCGAGGGAAGCTCCGAAATCTGCCTTATCTCAAGACGTCGTGAAGACGAAGAGAAACTCCGTGCCTGGGCCGGTAGAGCGAGGACACGCCATGGCAAGACGCGATGGGGTACAAACATCTTTAGATGGTAGGAGGCTAGGGCGAAAATGCTAGGCGAAGCTGTGCGCAGAGCTTGGAGGGGTGGGTGGGCGCCATATGAGCGTATGATGACGAGTCGAACCGTGGTAGGATGACGCCTGGTGGCATCGCAGGCCAGACAGCGTGGAGTGAATGCTAAGACGCGGAGATAGTCCAGGCGCAGCGACTAAACTCCATAATCACATGCAGCGGTGGAAAGGGTGAAAGTTGCGAGTGAACGCGTCCGGATATGACTAGCGCCCGCACCAGGCCAGCCCTGGAGCTAACGGGTGGGGTGAACCGCCGTGCTGTCATCATGCTCGAGGGAAAGCTGCGGATCGGCAGCACCAAGTTCCAGCGCCCGGAGACACGATGCGCGAAAGCTGCGGCCTGATTACTCCCTCTGCTCCTCTACACCACGCTTACACGCCCTTTCACCCCCAGGCGCCCAATGCAGACGGCAGCGCGCTGTCCCACTCTCCCCCGCCGCATGCCTGGGCCTTATCCGTAGTTCCCTCGTCCGCCTGAGCATCCGCCCACGCCGGCCTGCGTGCACGCGCACTCACACACTCTCTGTCATATTCCTCAGACCTGCCTACATACTTCTCATGCTCGCCCACACCACAAGCATCATGTCCACCAAAGACATCCGGCAGCGCAAGCCGCCAGCATCGGTGCCCGTCATCGAGAAGCTCAAGGCGCAGCGCACCAAGACACCCTCCGCGCCAAAACTCCCGGATCCAACCCAACACCCCGCCGGCAAGGTCAAACATGGGCCTGTCGTGCAGTTTCTGCGCATGTGTCTTTTTGCAGCGTACTTCAACGGCAGCATCATAGCGTTCGTATACACTCAAGGCTAATACCACCCATAGGATACTAACGTCATGTCTCAGCATCGCCATCACCCAATACATCGGCCTGCCGCTATACTTTTACAGCAAGGACCTCTTCTACGCGTGGATGGCCATGACCAAGCAGCACTTCAGCATGACCGTCACCACCATGACGTACTGGTGGGCGCCCGTCACCATGCGCGTCAGTGGAGACGAGAGCATAAGAGGACAGATGAGGAAGAAGGAGGATGGCCTGCTCGAATGCGACTTTCCAGAAAGGCTGGTCTTCGTCTCGAACCACCAGGTACGGTTATTCAGGCAACATCTTGTAGTGCAACGAGCTGACACCGGCTAGATCTACACCGACTGGGTCTACCTCTGGTGGATGGCATACAGCGCGTCCATGCACGGCCACCTCTACATCATCCTCAAGGAGTCGCTCAAATACATTCCAATTCTCGGCTGGGGCATGAGGCTCTTCGGCTTCATCTTCCTATCCCGCAAGTGGTCCACGGACAAGGAGCGCTTCCAACATAGGCTGAGGAAGCTGAGCAGAAGTCACGATGGCCCACTATCTGGCTCCAAGGGTCTCGACCCCATGTGGCTTCTCATCTTCCCCGAGGGCACAAATCTTAGCAAGAATGGTCGCGCATCGAGCAAGAAATGGGCAGAAAAGAACCAGATTGAGGATCTAAGACATACACTGCTGCCGCGAAGCACAGGGCTTTCCTTCTGTCTGCAAGAGCTGCAAGGCTCCGTAGATTACCTCTATGACTGCACAATGGCATACGAGGGCGTTCCGTAAGATCATGTTACCAACCAGGTTCTTCAGATACTAACACACAACAGCGCCGGCCAATACGGTCAAGACCTCTTCACCCTCTATAGTACCTACTTTCAAGGACGCCCTCCAAAGTCCGTAAACCTGTACTGGCGCCGCTTCGCCATCGCCGACATTCCCCTCCACGACGACAAGCTCTTCAGCGATTGGCTCCTTGCCCGATGGCGCGAAAAGGACGATCTGCTCCAATACTTCCTCGAAAATCAGCGTTTCCCAGCCGACGAGGGCGAGACACCCAATGTCAACGGCGGGCCACCGCTTAAAGGTGCTGGCTGGATCGAGACAGACGTCCGACCGAAGCTGTGGTACGAGTGGCTACAAATCCTCGTCCCGAGCGCCGCGCTTGCGCTCGTGGTGAATGTGTTCCTGAAGATTGCGAATCTCGTACAGAAAGTGGCGGGAGCAAAGTCATGAAATCAGGAAACTCACTAATTGGCGGCAAACATGTTGTTTCGCAGTGTCTGGCGCGTGGTCGTTTGTGTTATGTAGATCGGCTTTGATACCCTATATTCATCTCTTCTCTGTCCGTCAAATGAGGGTGTACCTCGTGGTACTCACGTAATCCTTCTTTGGGCCCTTGACATCGTATCGCACTTCCCACCACATATCCTCCGTGCCCCCGTTGACAACACCTGGTCCGAATGTCCAACTAGCCGTATACAAGTCCTCGGCACAAAGATGTGTTTCCTTGTTCTTGGCTTTCACCTCCTTTCCACTCGGCTCTAAATTACCCATGTCGACGAAGGACCCCCCGACCCCTTCCCCGTTCTTCCCCACGCCATCCTTGATATCCGTGCGCGGCATCTTTTCATCGTCGAAGAAACGGACGGCGATGTAGTCGCCTGCTTTCTCGCCTGTGCTTTCCGGTGTCGACGTTTTGAGTTGGTACACGTATTTCCTGCGTGCGTTGAACTTGAGACCCGTGTCTGTTGCAAACTCGCCTTCTTCGGCATAGAGCAGAGTTGGTGGAAAGGAGGCTGGTAGGTTGCAGGACGTGAACGTCGCTGTTCCTGTCACTATGCCCGAGGGATGGGTCGGTAGGGTAGAGCGGAGTTGACGGGTGAAGCTCCATGGTTTGTCGGGGGAGTTGCGTAAATTTTCGAAAATGGAGGTAGGCAGCGAAGGAGAGCTGGGCTTGGGCTTTTCGGTCTCGGAAGAGTCGTTTGTTCGTGGTTCTTGTGGTAGGGTTCTTGTTTCTCGGATTGGTATTGAGGTGGTGATGCCAGTGTTCGCGCTGTTAATCTTGGTTTGCGAGAAAGCTTTTGGGTCTTGGCTTTCTAGCAGGATGGCATTGACGCTTTGGAGCGTGCTTCTACTTGGGTTTAGCGCGGGGTTGCTTGTTGTTATCCAACTGAGCCTTTGCTTGATGAAGGCTTTTCCGATGGCACTTGTCTCTTTTGGCATACTCGTATCTATCGCTCCCTCCTCGTTTGTGTAGAGACATAGTACTGCTAAGGCGGTGCCGACGGACAGATCCTTGCCTGTTGGACAGCACACGAGAATCTTTCCGGTGGTTGGATCTGATAGGGACGAGAAGAAATATAGAATTCGGGGCAGTTGAGTGCGGAGGTCGCGCGAGCCAAGTTTGCCGGTTTGGCATTTGAGGTGCAAGTAGTGTTTGACTCCGGCGTCCTTTAGCATCGAAGTGGCGAAGGGCTCCGGTGTACAACTGATCACAACGTCGAATCCGTCGAGCTTCATCTGGTCACTAGGAGAGATGTACAGTTTTGACGTCGGCTTGATCAGACTTGCGACCGCGCTACTACCTCCGTCTTCGTTGAGCAATCTTTCGATCAGGGCTGGCATATCTTCCTCGCTCGTCTTCATCAGCACGTCCTTGTTCTTCCAGAAGACTGTCGGCGTGAGTCCATGAGACCATGCTTCGTGGTCATCGGCAGCACCCTGGATATACCCGCTTTCCGATGCCTCTGCACCACGTACTCGTCGCGATGCTGTGCAGAGCACGATGGGGTGAAAGTCAGGGAAAGAAGGCGCTATATCCGGAAGGGTTGATTGCTGTGTCACCCATATCGGCCGCAGGGGCTTCTTCAGCTTGCTGCGAAGGTCCACGATGTTAGGTGTGCATATATCCTTGTCTCGATATCAGCGAATATATTCGGGAATGCCCAGACAAGACACGCACCAGAAACTGTTGCACAAATCCGTCTATCCTCTTCTCCATTTGCGCATGCTCGCTTTCTCCCACGGCTTGTGGCGGCGTAAACAATCGCATCTCGTCTTTCCTAGGTGTGCCGAATACAGCTCTGTTGATCACACAGCACCATGTCGGGATGGTTTTGCTCAGCGCGTCCGGCATACTCTTGCCCCTCCTCGTGCTATCCACAATCACGGCACCGCCAAACTTCTCCACCACATCCAGTAGTTGCAGATTTAGTCTTCTCAGACTGAAGCTCCATTCGCCCATGTGACCGTCCGTGCTCTTGAAGTAGACAGATCCAGATTTTTGGGTCGGTGGAATGTACCAGCTTCCACAACGTTCATTGGCTACAAGAGGTAGATCGTAGGCAGATGCGACTGAACTGACGAAATCGCTGTCGGAGATGATTGAATTAAGGCGGTTGTGCGTTGATAGTGTTGAGCGGCGCAGGGAAGAAAGGGTGTTAGATAGATTTGGTGTATTGGAAAGGTGCGGAAACAGGATGTCGGTTTCTTTCAAAGGTTGAGACATTGTAGTCGTGGGCTCTACCAGTCTTCCAGGCGTAAAGTTGATAGTGTCTGCGCGGGTGGAAATAGAACGACCATTCACATTTGCATACCCCGCACCATCGCGTACGAAAAAAGGAAAGAAATACTTTGGAAGGGTTTCAGACAGAGGGGAAAAGCTATACGTAGATCTCAAGGTTATCGAGGCCTATAAATGTGATTGAGCCTTCTATATCGCGCTCAGGAATTGGGGATGCAAGATGGGTGTTCGTGAGGAAATGACCACAATAGCGCTAGTCCAAGAAGGGATTAGGGATAAGGGTTCAGAACAAAATTCGTTCCGAGCGAACATGGTAGGCAGCCTGTGGATACTTTTGTCTACCTATGGTCTTGAATGACTGCTAACATGATGCATCCGCCATCTAGTCTTGTTTAACAAGCGAAACAGGCGCGATATAACTCTTCCGTGCGCTGACGAAATAGTTGACCGTGGCAATGATAGCCATCGCGCCAAACATAAGCGCCGCCCAATTCATGTCCGTAGCCGAAGGGTTTGGCACTATAGGGAAGAATGAGAAGACGAAGGAAACGACCAAAAAGGCAAGAGCGAGGTCGTTGACGATGCCTCCAAACTTGCCTAGGCTCCAGCGTCGAGGGAGCAGTGGCTCTCCTCGCCAACGCTTCAAGCGCACGCATCCAATCGATATAATGTAGGAAAAGATGAGAGCTGCGTTCGAGATGGAGACGATGGCGTTCAATGTAACGTCCGACCCGAAGTTGATGCATGCGAGCACGAGCGAGGATCCGAGGCAGACAAGTAGCGCGTTGACCGGAATGTCCCAGCCGGCTGGCACTCGCTCGATCCATGCAGAGAACGGAAGTCCCCTGTCGCGCGCAAATGCCCAGATCTGGCGCGAAGAAGCAGCAGTGACGGATACGGCTGCAAAGAAGACGAGGACGACGAGAATGGCACCCATGACTTCTGTGCCAGCAATGGAGCCTGTCGCGTTGTAAACGGCTTGGAGTATGGGTTGCCCGGTCGGCGACTCCAGAACAGAGTCGAGGGCGCCTCCACACATCACGAAGGTAATCATCTAAAATGAAGATGGGTAGTCAGTATTTGGCTCTAGTCTCGAAAAGTTGGACCTGCTTACCATGATGCACCCGAAGATGCCGTTGAAGAGGACAGCCCACATCATGGCTTTGGGAAGCACCACAGAGGCGTCTTTCAGCTCTTCGGACATGTGAGCGCCCGCGTCTGGGCCGATAAAGCACCATAATGGGGTCGAAAGGCCGACCAGAGCAGACACGCCCATGGAGCTCCATCCTCCACCGTTTGTCCAAGTTGTGAAAGCCTCCTCTGCAGGCATGCGCTCCGCCATCGTCCAGAAAAGGATTAAAAAGGCGAAGAAGGCGAAACAATGCAAGACAAGCACAATACCTTCGGCGAGAGGCAGGTGCTGCGCCAGGAAGATGTTGAAGCCGATCATCAGGACTAGCCAAAGCATCATCAGGAGGGTGATATGCCACAATTCTCCAATCTGCGCATCAGGGTATGCAAGCAGGACCATTCCAATGACGAGAGTCGAAAGCATTTGCGCGCAAGCGGGGATGCCGCTGACCCAACCGACGGCCGCAGCCCAGCCTAATCACACTGTAAGTGTACAAAGTTGGATATTGGAAGCTGCATTTTCCGTACCCACAATGTAGCTGAGCGACTTCTGAAACGATGGTGGCGCGAATTCGCTGACCCAATGGTATTGTCCACCAGCAGTCGGGGCCATGGAGGCCATCTCAGCCAGAGAAGCGATCATAGCCAGGACGAAGAGCCATGCTAAATGCAGGTGTATCAAGTCAGTGTATGTTTCACATGCAGTTCGTAGGGACAATTACTGATAATCATCATCCAAATCACACCTGCTGTGCCTCCATTGAACAGCCTGCACAAAGGTTAGTATATGTTACGCACGCGTTCCGCAGGCAAGACTTACCCAAAGTACGCTGACAAAAGAGCACTCTCCCATGTTGACTGAAGGACGACCACGAATCCGATGATAGATACCATGCGGAAGTTTCTCTGATTGCGGTTTAGGAGTGTCATTGAACACAGGTGTTCATAAAGGCTTACCCGTAACTCTTGTTTTTTGCCCATCCGTTGCATATCCGAGGCATCATGAGATGTGCCCCCCAGAGCACCGGCATGCATCATGTCCGCTGCGTTGGATCCATGGCTTCCTATATCGTATTCCTCGGTACTTGCAATCTTCGATTCTCCAAAGATCGCCATTTTGTAAAGTGTTGGAATACAGAACCTCGATCATCAACGAAAGATAAGGGAAATTCTGAAAAGAGGGACCAATCTAATGGTTCGATGAACACCAAGCGACATACGTGGAATTCCACAGCCATTATTGTACCCGTTGATTACGAGCCGTGTCAGAGAGGTAGCTGCCGTTATTGGTAACGTCGCAAGCCATCTAGAACGTGAAAGGCTGTGGCGAGATACCTGTGAATAGTGCAAGCGCAGCGTAACCGAGGCGATCTAAAAGGGCGGCCCTTGGAAATGCGGCTCGGGTATGGGTGCTCAAGCCGCTCACCATGCGCGCAGGACACGCTACTGCACGGTATCAGTGTGTGCCTACGTGATGGGATCGCGTTCTACTTCGTACGCTGCAACGTGGGGTTTGGGTGTAGTCGTCAATTTCTTGTACATGTATGTCTGCTAGCACCTTCTAAACAATTGTGCATTGTGCCCAGATCACTTTTGCGAGCCAGATGCAACCTAGGTAACTGACGGTAGCTTCTTTGGTGAAGCAGATGAGTGGTGTACTCAATGGTGTGACAACCTCGAGATGGTGATGGAGACCCTTTGAGGGCCCGTCCCGCGGCCGTGGCGGGCACTACGCGCGTCGGCATCATCCAACCGCGTTCGTCTGTCCAAGCTTGGACAGCCACACCACACCCGAGGCCCGCGATCCCTGAGACCAGAGCCAGAACTTGGAAGAAGCATCACTGCGGCGTAGCCACACCCGTGCCACAACGCGCTCGCTACGCTGACCTGCCCCTTCCGATGTATCCATTGTCAAAGCGGTTAGCTATAGCCTACAGTCATTAATCGCAGACCGCCGCTTCAACACGTTGAACATGCGCGAATACCCTTGCTGCTCATCAAGGCATGATGGGAAGCAACACTTTGCTATATCTACCTAGGTAGCTATACAAGAGGTTTATGTCGAACGGATCCGAGATTCTTCTCATGAATTCTTATGGAAAGAAGCGCAGAATGTACTCTGCGGCAGTCTAGCACCGTGTTGAGAAATGATAAGTCCACGGGTTTGGTCACGCCACAACCTCGCACGGCTCGAGGTATTTTGTCCCTATCTAGGAGCAGAACATCTGCAGAATGCACCGCACCCCGACTCCGGTGCCAGGAAGGATCTAATCATCTGACTCGAAGTAATTACAATCGGATCATCAAGAGACGCGTGCGAGGATTGCATGCTATCAGAGACTAGGCCCAGCCACTGGATAATTGCAGAACAATTTGTTATTGGAGAGCCGCAACAAGGTCCACGCATCCTGCTAAAGGGGTGATGCGACGCCTGCAAGGTATACAGAGCAAGACAATCCCAGCGCACTCTGCAGTTGGGTGCAAGGTGAAGTTGGGTCGGTGTTTGGCATTAACCTGGAATGATCGTCCGCACCGTAGTATTGGGGCGACGCCGCAGCGCTTACTGTGTGTTTAATGCCATTTCATGGGAATTAAAAACTAGTGAGTAGTACTCGGTATTCTTTTGACGAGCAATGACATGGCGGACCACAACGATGAAGCGATCGCACAACACCCGGGACATGCGGATACTTTGAGATTTGTCATCAGTCTTTGCCTATGCTATACACTATGTGTAGCATTCCTGCGGGTATACACTCGGTGGAGAGCTTATAGTCTCGACGATCTGGTTGTACTGCTATCGGGAGTAAGTACACTTTTACGTAGCAGACCTGAGCCCTACGAAAGCGTATTGCTAACAAGCTTGCACACAGGTACTGGCGCTTAGTTTCTTTGGTGTAGTTTTCGCATCTATCTCTGCAGGATTCGGCCACCCGATGGCCGATTTGATGGTCCCATCCGGTGTCGGCAAACTCAACGACCTTGCGTTAGCTGGCAACATACTCTGGATCACATCGCTATGCGCTTCCAAGATCGCTATTATAGCTATGCTATCACGTATTACACCGACTATATTACATAGAAGGGTTCAGTACAGTGTCGGCGCCCTTGTTGTCGCTCAATGTCTGATTTCCATCCTACTTCTGACTGTCAACTGCTCCGTTCACCATAACCTATCGTGGAGCATGGCACTCGCAAACTCTGGATGCCACCAAATTGAGAGAAGATGGCAAGCTCTGACTGCTCTGGACATCGTTACCGAGATCTTTCTGCTTCTTTTACCTATCCATTTGGTTTGGAAGCTACAAATGACTTTTCACACCAAACTCGTCGTTATATCAGCGTTTTGGCTCCGAATACCGTAGGTTATGTCACTATTAAGGCATGATATTAGCTAAAAGTAGAACAGAACCCTCGTATTCTCCGCTCTTCGCCACAATGAGATGTACAAACTTACGACTACGTCAGATGTCTCTCTCACAGCTGCTACAGTGGTCATCTGGCAGGCTGTGGAGCTATCATACTCTCTAGCTGCTGCGACACTGGCTGCGCTAAAGCGATTCACAGAGTCTCTTAATACTGGGTTCGGTCATGGGGAGCTTATGCGTGTCCACGGATCATCGCAAGGGTACAAGTTGTCAGATCGGAGCGCGACGTCGAGAAACAGGAAGACTTCACATAAGAAATCACCGTATTCGAATGACTTTGAACTCTCTATCGACAAGGTTTTGCTGGAAACTTCGTTGAGACCTGAGGTACTGGGAAACACAGCTACAATCTTATCGCCAACCAAAGACTTCAATCCGCTCAACAGACGGATGGATGACTCTTACTCGGAGGATAACAGCATTCGACAGGAAGTACAGTACTCGGTTCACTATGAGGAACGCGATATTTCGAGTCAGAATTGAGAGCAATAGGCCTACGAAGAGTTGTAGACAAGATCAAATGATGCTGGACTGTGCCATCCACTCGCGAACAGAAAGCGCCTGTGCGGTGCCGTCCTCGCCTTCCTGTGACCACGTGATCAGTCGCAAAACTCGGTACCATCAATATCGAATGGATATGGATGTATGGCTGATATCCAGATGCGCGTTCACAAGGGTCTTTAAAGGTCACGCCGAATCTTCCCGCGATCCTAGCGAAATCCTTTGGTGTTCATTGCAACATCCACCGTGCGATCATTACCTACCTATTCTTTCAGTATACACAAATCTTCCAACACCTTCCCATCATCCCAAAAATCACAGACGTTCACACAAGCTCAGAAAATCTCCTCAAGCGCAAGGCTTGCGAGGGGATGGCGTGAAGCTTAGGTCCATTAGATGGCCTCCATATTGGGACTACGCTGGAAGGAGAATAGACTCGTTACTAGTGTGGGCAAGCTTCAATTACCCGACCACTCTGGCATCTGCGAACGCGAACCTCGTCACTCACATCAACCACTCACATCATCCTTCCGAGCGTCGCTGTCATCACTATATATCAGTTTCAGGATTTCCATTACGTTCTCTCTCTCACAACGCGGTCCGAACCACACAGCTAGCTGCTGCAGCGGAGGTCATGCGCCGACACGCATGCCGTGCGCTCACAATACCAGACAGAACCTTGGAAGCGGTCTGCCTCCTCCACGCGTATAGCACGAGTAACGAGACCAAACCTGCTGTGATGTTATTGGTAGCACCAGACTCCACTCGTATCATGCCATCGTGTACCAGAAGTCGTCCAGTGCGGCAAAGAAGAGTATATCCAAGACTGTTTGACACGAAAACGGACAATTGCAATTACATCGCGCACCTTCAGGCGGCTGCTACGTATTGCGCTGTCCCGTCACGTTCTCATATGCTCATTCTAGGCAGACGCATATACCCGGGAGTTCCCCCAACCCTCATCTTCCAGAAGCCTACCACAAGCGCTCGACCTGCCTCACACGACCTCCAGACCAGCATCGCAAGTCGGTAGCGAGGCTTGGCTGTATTATCGACCTGGTCTCTCGTTCGCCGTAACCTCCCATGTGGAGTGCATCAGGATAAATGCAAAATTAAAGAGCCTCCAAGATCGACCTTCATCAATTTCGACTGTCATGTGTACACTCGAGCCTTTCGAGAAGCTTTCTAGCCAAAGATTTCCGGGCTGCCTTCGTGTACCTGCTTACGTTTTACATCGGGCCGAGCGCTATCAACCCCCAATACATCATTGTCGGGGAAGAGAACTCGCGTCATTTTACTGCAGATTTGTTGATCACTTGTGCATTGCCAAAGAGTTCATGGGCACGGTGGATGCTGCGAGGAGTTCATCTGCAACAACAATCGGAAGACGGTTCTCCATGACCAGTGTCATATGACCCGATGAGCTGTCCCACAATACTAAACTCTTTCATATCTCGATGGGAAGCTTATGGGCTACGTAGATGATGTCGCAGACTGCCAATCATCGTCATTAAGAGTGAGGCTGAGGACTAAGATCGCGGGGTAGGAGACCCGAACAATAAGCACCCCCGCAACCCCAATACGTCTCATGTAAACATTCATTTATCTACCCTGTAAGGAGGGTCCAAGCGGCTGGAGACCTATCAAGATGACTTTGAGCCACGAAAAAAGAATATGACATCCGGAAGTTTGGAAGACACCTAAAGAGAGCATCCCACTGCATAATCCTAATGGCATTCTCATGAGGCGGTGATGTCTTTCCACAAAAGAATTCTTCGTCCAAAGCTGATAGCTAGTAAAGCAACGCCACCTCAAGAAACCCGGCTTTTGCCTCCCACTCAGCTGGTGCTATGTCAGTGGACCCCTACTATACTACCATGCTGCCATTGATATATCTTCATCTAAGCCTCATATCTCAAGCGCCGATCGCACAGACCCAACCCAGAAGCTAACGTCCGCAGTCTCCGGGCCTGTTTCCTGATGAGACGGTACCTCAGTGCTGAGTTGGCGCCATACTAGCAGCATACGATCCAACGCCGATATAAGAGGCTCCCACTACCCTCTAGGCTTCCAGCACCAACGCAACCAAACAACTACATTCAGACGTCAACATGAAGGGTCTTTTCTCTTTCGCCGTGGCCTCGGCCATCACTGGCGCTTTCGCTCTCCCATCTCCCGTAGAGAACGGCCCCATCACTGCTCGCCAGGCTGCAGCATGTGCCACTCCCGTTACTCTGTCTGGCAACCCCTTTGCGTCCCGATCCATCTACGCCAACAAGTTCTACTCATCCGAGGTCGTTTCTGCGGCTGCTCAGATGACCGACACTGCTATGGCGGCGAAGGCTCTCAAGGTTGCTGACGTTGGAACCTTCTTGTGGATGTGGGTTAATCTGCTCGTCCTCACAAATATCTACTAACAGATGATCAGCGACACCCGTGAGAAGATCTCCGTCGTCGAGGATGGTATCAAAGACGTCCCCTGCAACCAGATTGCCGCACTAGTCATCTACGATCTGCCCGGTCGTGACTGTGCAGCCAAGGCCTCCAACGGTGAGCTTGCCGTTGGCGAGCTCAGTGTCTACAAGTCCGAGTACATTGACCGTAAGCATATTACTGCTGTTGATCACAGCCTTTACTAACGATACGCAAGCCATCGTTGCCATCTTCAAGAAGTACCCCAACACGGCCATCGCCCTCGTCATCGAGCCCGATTCGCTCCCCAACTTGGTTACCAACTCCGACCTCCAGACCTGCAAGGACTCCGCCTCTGGCTACCGCGACGGCGTCGCATACGCTCTGAAGCAGCTCAACCTACCCAACATCGCCATGTACATCGATGCCGGTCACGGAGGCTGGCTCGGCTGGAACGACAACCTAAGTAAGCACCCTTCCATCCCCTCAATTCCATCACATTCCTAACAACCCCTTTCCAGAGCCCGGAGCCAAAGAACTAGCCACCGTCTACAAGGCCGCAGGCAGCCCCAAGCAAGTCCGCGGCGTGGCCACCAACGTCGCCGGCTGGAACGCCTGGGACCTCTCCCCAGGAGAGTTCTCTGGCTCCTCCGACGCCCAGTACAACAAAGCGCAAAACGAGAAGAAGTACATCGAGCTCTTCTCGCCCGAGCTCAAGTCCGCCGGCATGCCCGGCCAAGCCATTGTCGACACGGGCCGCAACGGCGTCACTGGCCTGCGCGAGGAGTGGGGCAACTGGTGCAACGTCAACGGCGCTGGATTCGGTGTTCGTCCTACGAGCAACACGGGCTCTTCGCTTGTTGACTCGTTCGTCTGGGTTAAGCCTGGTGGTGAGAGCGATGGTACGAGTGATAGCTCGGCTACTAGGTACGATTCTTTCTGCGGTAAGCCTGATGCGTACCAGCCCAGTCCTGAGGCTGGTCAGTGGAACCAGGCGTACTTTGAGATGCTGGTTAAGAACGCTAAGCCTGCTTTGTAAGGCGCTGGCTTGATATCACGTCCCATTGGAGGAGGGCATGAGGTAGTTCGAGGACGGGGAGTGGTGCTACCTTGTATATAGATTGATCGGTTGGTGGGAACCTTGGAAAGAAGTCGACAGGTGGAAGTTGCGGTTCGAAAACTCCGCTTCAACTGTGTATACATGAGCGTAGTTACAGCCAAAGAAATCGAACTCTCGTTTGATCAACATGCACACTGGCATCTTCGTGTATTGAGGGGTAAAGTAGTAAAACACAGAATCGCATTGATGTTGTCAAGGGCGAGAGTCGTCAACGTTGTTCATTTAACCACAATGACTACGCGCGGGTTTGACTAGTAAAATGTAAATTTACCCAAAAGAGTGCGCCTAATGAATTTTCCCTCTGGCCAACCCATGTATACTTTCCAAAACTCCGCGTGCGCGCTCACAGACTAAGGTATGCTCGCTCGCTCAAACCCCATAAAACGCCATGGCTTCGCCGCGTGATGCATCGCAGTCCAAACAGTACTCTGTAACGCTAGAGTCAAGCCGTGAGGCTTTCCGTATAGTGTAGCGCATATTGAATCGTTCAAATCATTCATTTCCAATCCTCTCTTCGTTTCTATCGTCTTGTGGACCTGATGTGCCCTCAATGGAAGAATGCTGTCGGCTAAGAGACCGCTCCAAATCGCGTCTGAGACGCGTTATAGACTGTTCATCGGAGTCGTTCTAAGACATCCGCCTCCTTCTGAAAGGCTCTTCCTCTTCCTCTTCCTCCTTCTCTTCGTTCACTTGCAGCGTTAACCACGCAGCAATCAGAGCGCAGATACCGCCAAAGCGCAGCACCCAGGCTACACTCGTGTCACCTGCCGTGCCCCTAGGCTTTTGTAGGAGCTTGAACATGATGGCACTGACAAGTGTTGCGATGACCTGCGGCGCTGCAATGGCGACGTTGTGAATACCCAACACAACACCAGCAGAATCGGCGCCAGAACCGTCATCCTCTCCCTCGGCGATGAGCTGAGATTCGCGGTCGCGAGGCTTGATGATACCGCGACGGATGGCGTCTCTCTTGGAGATCTCAGAGGAGATGATGGCGAACGGGGCCCAGTTGGTCACACACCAAGGAATACCGATGGCGCCGACAAGAACTGTAGCTCCCAACGTACTACGAACAAAGAAGGTGAGGACCATGAGGACGGCAAAGAGAATGTGTGAGATGAACCAGGATCGACGAAGAGTGAGCGATTTGACTTGCAACGTTTCCAACGATTTGGCGATCTTCTCCATAGTTGTGTTTGGGTTTTCCCTGCGTGCCGGACCTAGAGCAAAGTAGCCAGAGCCACCCATGGAATGTGGGGTTGTCGGTGTCATAGGCGTTGCCGGGGTTATTGGACGGTCGGGTTCTGGGGCTTGGAACGTCGGAGGGATGACGAACGGCAGGATGACAGAGGAGAAGAAGGTGGTGATAGCGAATACCAAAAGCGCTCTGGTGCCAATCCTGGTACCGCTCTCTAAGATCTCGTCAATCTTGCCATCTGGCAGGTGGGGGTTCTCCTCAAAGTAGGGGTCGGCATAGATTTCGCCAACATAGGTAGTGATGTAGAAGAGAAATGGGAACCATCCAATCCAAGCAAAGAACTGCACCATGCAGACCTTCTTGATCTGGGGCGGGAGTTTCTTGACTGAGCGCGCGAGGCCCCTGAAGAAGGCCATGACACCTTCCTGCTGCTCGGCCGGTGCAGTGTCAAATTGGGGATCGCGTTCCGCGCAGGTTGAGCAACTGATGCCAACGGTGAGGGCCATGACAAACGAGGCGATAGCGCAGAGGACCTTGAACTGTGTGCCACCGAGCCATGGAAGGTAATCTGGGAGATTGATGTAACCAGCTAGGTAACCCAAGATGTTGCCAATACCAGCCGAGCGCATCAGCCATGCATTGGCCGACTCCTGCTGATGGGTAGGGGCCACGTCGACGATGTATGCTCGCACACCGGCTTGGATGACGTTAATAGCGAAATCGAGCACGTAGACGAACAAGACGGCGAAGAGCATGATGCACGTCTTGACCCCAGACGACTCTGGGTCAGCGCCGAAGAGGCCTAGGAAACCTCCGATGATTTCCCTTGCCCAGGCGAGAACCATGAGGGACACAATGGTCGCAGCAGCACCGCCGATAATGAAGGGTCTCCGCTTTCCCCAGCGCAGACGGCAGTTGTCACTCTTGAGACCGACATACGGCTGGACAAGTACTCCGGAGAGAGGGCCGGCAATCCACACGAGAGCAAGCATCGACTTGCTCAGACCGAGCGATAGTAAGTATGGCTGCGTACAGTTAGCATAGTTCGCGGTCGAGGTGGGCTGCGGTGGTCCGACGGGTCATGCATGCATGGCTCACACGACCTCAGTGCCGGATCTGCATGCAGGGTCCATGTCGTCCTCATGGAGTTTTGCAGCGAGAAAAAGCACTTACCGATCCGTTGGAAGTCTCTACGGACCATCCTATTTGCAGGCCGAGGCCTCCAAAGGTGAGCAAGAACAAGAACCAACTGCTCTTTGTCTCCTCGACCTGTTGTTCGCCCATCCAGTCATCGTCGTCGTCGTCGGGCGACAGGCTCTCCTTAAGGAGCGGGTCGATTTCGGAGGACATTCTTTGGGGAATGATGGTGGGCGAGTTCTCGTGGATGAATTCGACGTGGGTGTGACCTTCAGTGTCTGGTCGTCCACCCATGAGCGAGTCGCGGCCAAAGGAGACGAGTTTGGGTCGTGGCTTGGGGCGGGCGGAAGTGTCGATTCTGGAGGGAGGAGAGGCACGAGGTGAAGACGAGCGCGAGTCGCCGCCGTTGGGCCGTGAGGACGACATGATGGGGCAGGTGGCAGTCGCAACCTGATCTGGGGAGAGTGCGTGGAGTGGCCTGCGCGGGCGACGTGGTCGGCCCTGGTGGCTTACGGCTCGCTGTCAGGGTCGGCGAGATTGTGATTGGCAGCAGCGAGGTGGGTAAGTACGAGGATGCGAGGATGCGCGGTGGAGAGATGTGGTGAGAGGCAGACTATCAACAAAAGGCGAGTGGCGCGGTGGGACTCAGGCCATGCTCCAAAGCGTATCGAGCGTGAAAGAGGCGCTAGTGGGACCGCTGGGGCTGCGGCGGCGATCGATCTCGAATCTCGACCAAAGTTCACAATCGGCGCTGCTCAAAGAGACGGCGGAGGGGGGCAGCAGACAGGTCTATAACGGGCGGGGAGCCACGATGTAGTAAGAGGCGGTGTAGGTCATGTGGGTGCCAGCCGTGTGCGGTAGGCTTGGTGAAGGGTCTAGCAGGTCTTGCAGGTGATTCTGGGTAGATGTCATGCAGGCGTGCTAGCCAGTGTGCGTGCCATGACGTCGCCCCATGAGCGGTTCTGAGACCCTCGTCGATGGCGCTAGGCCCAAAGCCGGCTGGCGCTCGCTGGAACGGCAGCCGAGACATGGAGACACCTGGACGCTGTGCGAAGGCAGCGACGCGTCTGCAAGAGCCTCACCAGGTCGCCATATCGCCATATCGCCAGCCTCGCATCGCTATCCCACGCTGCCAGACCTGCATCCAGCGCACCTCGCCCTGCCCGGACACGCCCAGCGCCGCTCCGGCCTCCACTCCTTGCGCAACGTTGCCCTAGGCCCCGTCCCATCCAGGCAGCCCCAGGACCAGCATCCAACGCCCAGCGGCCACCTGTAACCTCGACATATACGCCCACAACCCCCGCGCAATCCTCCTGCGATACCGCACACGCTCGCGCTGTTGATGACCGCCCGGCCTTGAGTCCACCATGGCGTCCATAATGGGCTGGTGGGCAGTCGGCCAGCTACTCAGTATGCGCCCTCGACTCCTCTAATCTGACACGCCCGGCATACATACTGACTGTTGACGGCAGAGCGCGATGCATCCGACGCAGACCCGGACGGTCAGTTCCCCGCTCCACACACACACGGCGATCCCATCTCTAATGCGCGCCAACAGACGAGCCAGAGGCTGGCCAGAAGGAGATATTCACATCGTGGGCCCTGTCCATCCTGATTATGCTCCTCATAATAGCCCTCTTCACGAGCTACATACTCCACACGCGGAAGATCCAGGCCGTCCATGAGACAGTCCTGTCCATTTTTGCAGGTACGTCGTTCCCACACCACCCTCCGCGGCTGCTTGGGCCCTTCCGCAAGCTTGGCGTCCGTTGAGACAAGCTCGGCGTAGTGTGCATGGGCAAGGCCACAAATTCCGATCACTTGCAGCCCGAAGCCCATCACCCGACTAATTGTGGGGTAACCTGCAATATCCACCTGCGATGTCGCCTAGTCCATCTCGTAATCCAATCGCGCTATGATGCTCGCTAACGCCCTTCAGGCATGGTCGTTGGCCTGCTGCTGCGCCTGACAGCAGTCGCTTCCGTCCGAGATGTCGTCAGTTTCGACTACCAGATGTTCTTCAACTTGCTCCTGCCTCCCATCATCCTCTCGGCTGGCTATGAACTCCATCAAGGCAATTTCTTCCGACACATTGGAACCATTCTCACATTTGCCTTTGCTGGCTCTTTCATATCCGCCCTAGTCCTTGGCATCATCCTGTTCCTGTGGACCAGAATTCCTCTCGATGGCTTCAAGATTAACTTCGTCGAGGCCATGTCTGTTGGCGCTACCCTCTCGGCCACTGATCCCGTTACTATTCTTGCCATCTTCGATACGTACAAGGTAGAGCCCAAGCTATACACCATCATCTTTGGCGAGTCTATTCTCAACGATGCCATCGCCATCGTCGTCTTCGAGACTGCACAAAAGTACAAGGACGGTGCTGAGTCTCTGGGCTTCATGAGCCTTTTTGAAGCCGTAGGCATTTTCCTTGGCGTCTTCTTCGGAAGTCTGTTCATAGGTGTCATGGTCGGCATCGGCGTGTCTCTGATGCTCAAGTTCACCTATGTTAGGCGCTTCCCCAAGACTGAGAGTTGTCTCATCATACTCACCGCATACTTGACATACTTTCTGTCCAATGCCATCCACATGTCTGGTAAGTCTTCACCGTCTTCCTTCTCTGGCCGTCTGCTAATCATCCTGTAGGTATCGTCTCTTTGCTCTTTTGCGGTATCTGCATGAAGCATTACGCTTACCACAACATGTCAAGACGGACCCAGTTAACCACCAAGTTTGTCTTCCAGGTCACCTCCCAGATTTCGGAGAACTTCATCTTCATCTACCTAGGCTTGTCCCTCTTCACTGATGACAAGCTCGATTACAAGCCCCTCTTCATATTGATTACCGTATTCGGCATTTGCGCCGCTCGCTGGTGCGCAGTGTTTCCTCTTTCAAGGCTCATCAACTCTGTCACAAGATATCGCCAGCGCCGTCGCGGCGACGAAGTTGTGGAAGAGATTCCTTATCCTCACCAGGTCATGATCTACTGGGCAGGCCTGCGTGGTGCTGTAGGTGTTGCGCTTGCTGCAGGTCTCACAGGTAACAACGGCGACACACTGCGAGCCACAGTTCTTGTCGTAGTCGTTCTGACTGTCATCATCTTCGGCGGTACCACTGCACGCATGCTAGAGATTTTGGGCATCCGCACTGGTGTAGTCGAAGAGATTGACAGCGATGATGAGTTCGACATTGAGGTCGTTAATGGCGGTACCTACACACGCAAACAGGGTCAAGCTTATGGCAACACCCCACGTCCCGGCCAAAATGGCTTCTCACTCAACAATGTCAACGGACCCGACGCTACCTACTCTAGCGGATCAGTTAGTCGAAGTAGTCCACCCACACGACCAAACGGCGCTATGCGACGCAACTCGAGCCATCCACGTGCTAGAGACGGCGCAGACCAAAGTCTCCTCAGCCCAGCTGATAGCGGCTCTGCTGATGAAGACGACATCGACCTTGACCTTCCTCCCAGCGCACGCCGCTCGCCGAATCGCGGCCCGTCGCCATTAATGGGCGACCCATCCCCGTACCCGACATCAGGCATAAGGCCGGTCGGCTCTGCGGCCGAGGGCTCGAGTAGGGTTGCGACTGCCACAGGTGCAGTGAAGCAGCTCTTCAACGAGATCAGCCACGATCCTGCAAACGCCTTCAAGCAGATCGATGACGGCTTCCTCAAACCACATCTGCTCCTAGACCAGGGCAAAGGTCCAGGGCCCGGTAATGTTTGATTGTATGAGTAGACGGATGGGAAACAAGCATTCGCGGCGTTTGAGTCATCTTTGGGATTAGGAGCTAGCGACTTTGATCGCCTGGCGCATAGCGTAGCATGACTTGTTGAGTCATGATGGAGCGCTGTCACCGCTACTTTGGTACTCAGAGTCGAACCGTATTTCATGTAGACTGAAATTATAACACACATCACAATGCATGGAGAGAGCGAGTTCGAAATCGAATGCCAACGATATTCACTATAGTAAAGGAAGATTGGGAATCAAAAATACCTCATAACGTCCTGATTTCTCCAAACCGAACACGAGAATAATAAAACAACACAATTGTCTCCAGAGCCCTTTGCCGATTTTACCCACCACCCACTTGCCTTCTCTATGGATCAATGATGAAATCAAGTGAATGGCGTTATGTGTTCATCCCCGATCAAGAGACCACGACCTTCCTAAGGTCCAGGATACCTGTCAAACCTAATTTGCAAGTCAGTATTTTGAGCTTTTGGATAGGGAAATGTGAGTGGACAAGTGACTTACCTCCAGATACGCGCACGCATATCGCCACTACCGGTAGCAAAGACGCCTCCCGTGGGGCTGGGAGCTACAGAAATAACTGGAAAAGGCAACGTTAGTAACACGAAAGACGTGAAGATATATCAAGCTTACCGGAGTTCTTATGTCCCTGCAACATGAGCTGCGCGACACCAGTGTGAGGGTCCCAGAACTGGACACCGCGGTCCTTGGAACCACTCAGTACCCAGTCACCGTGTGGGGTAAGGGCAACGCTGAGCACAAAGTCCTTGTGGCCTTCGAAAGTGCGGATGCACTTGCCGGTTGGTTGGTGGCCGCCTGGGACAAAGCGGTTGTTGGTGGACAGCTCCCACATCTTGATTGTCTTGTCGAGACTGCCACTGACGAGCCTGTTGCCCGAAGGAGCAAAAGCCACACTGTAGACACTATCCTTGTGACCATGCTCGCCTTCGAGACGGACGACAAGCTGGCCGGTCTGAATATCCCACACGCGGACGCTCTTGTCGAGGGATCCGGCGGCAACGTAGAGGTTGTCTGGGGAGATGGCCACGGTGGTGACACCATCCTCGATGGAGAAGTTGGACACCTGCATGTTGGACTCGAGGTCCCAGAGTCGGACACTGCGATCGCCACTGCCGGATGCAATGATCTTGCCGTTCCTGGCAAAGTCCAAGGAGTAAATGTCCTGCTCGTGTCCAGTGAACTGGTGCTTGATGGTGCGGGTAGCAATGTCCCAGACCTGGCTCAATGTTAGTCACGATTGATAGAGCGAATCAGGATCAAACTTACCCTAATGACCTTGTCCTCGGCACCGGTTGCAAGGTACTGGCCGCTGGGACTGAAGCAGACGCTTCGGATGTACAAATCGCCGTCCTCGGGCAGGCTTCCATCCTGGAGATGCGCGACAGGGTTTCCGGTCTCGACATCGAAAATCTGGGCTGAACGGTTGCAACCTGTCGCAACCCACCTTCCGTCCAAGCTGAAGCGTACGCAGCAGACCACACTTTGATGCGGTAGGTTGTGAATCAAGTCAACATCAAGCACACGTCTTGAGCGAGGGTTGAAGACAGCGAACCAATCGCTGCCCTCCTTCTTCAGGTTCTCTGGCAACTGCTCAATGTCTAGATCAGCCAAGACGTTGCTCTGGCTGAGAGGGATGTGGTTGGGCGCCATCAACGCACTCGGCTGCTGATGGTGGGGAGGAGGAGTCGGTCGCGGGACTTGAGGCGATCCGGGGTAGGGTGCAGGGTTGTTCTGCTGAGGAGTGGCGGGATTGGGTGGGCCGTTGGGGGGACCGCGGGCAGGACCTGGACGCTTAGCACCAGGTGAGGCAGTGGGCTGTGGAGGCTGACCATAACCTGCGATGTGTTAGCCAAGACGAGGGCGGAAGCATGGAGTCTTTGACGCTTACCATTGACAGATGGACCCTGCTGGTAGCCACCAAAGTGCTGTGGCGGACCAGGAGCAGGGTTCAGTCCTGGGGGGCCTTGGGGTCCTCCCAGCTGTGGCGGCATGCCATGGCCCTGGGGCGGCTCCTGTGGAGGAGGCGCCAGACCCGGACCACCTTGGGCAGCACTGCCTGCCATTATGCCGCCAAACAGGTTACTAGGCCCGTGGCCGATCTGAGGCGGCTGAGGCTGCGAGGGGCCATGGTGCTGCGAGTTCTGGCTGGGGCCGCCGCGAGCCTCGAGTTCGCGCTCCAGCTGGGCGATGCGCTCCTCGTATCTAGCACGGGGGTCAGCATCCAGAGTGCAGCCTGAGGGAAGCTGGCGGGCGTGTTGTGTGGGCGACGTGCGGGTGCTTACTTTGCTTTCATCTGGTTGTGTGATTGCTCGAGCGAGTAGACCTTGCCGCGGATCAACTCAATCTCTTGGATATGACGCGTGACTGCAAAGACTAGTTAGCAGCTGTGAGCTCCATGCGACAAAAGACAGTCGAGGCCATGCGCAGAAAGTTTGCTCGCCCGGTCCTTGGATACCGCACGGCAACTGCTTCCCTTCGCGGCTGGGCAGCATGTGCAAGACTCACTTTGGCCTTCGGCATCGACACTGCGCTGGGATTCGGCTTCGAACTCGGTCTTGATGTTGTCGAGCAGCTCGTTGAGGCGCTGGGCTGGGCCCGTCTGGGGAGGCATGACCGCCCGGGGAGGGTAGTGGTTCATGCTGGCGGCGGGGTCGCGCGTCCGGGAGAGGGTGCGAGGATGGGCTGGCCGTCTGCTTCGCGTCGTGCGCTATTGAGACGCGAGCAACAGGGCGCGGTATGCGACAACGTCGGGTGGGAGCCTGGCGGTCGCAAGGCTGTGAGCGCACAGCTGGCACGAGCTATCTGGGCTGGTACACGTCTACGGGGCCGGCCCTCTGGTGGGCACGACGGGTGTCGGATGGATAAACGGTGGATGGGGGCAGATAGGGATGCAAACGGGTGAGATGGTGTCGTGGCTGTGAGATCGCTGAGGTTTGAGCGCAAGATGGGTGGGTCGCCGTGGTTGGTGCTTTTGCTTGGCTTGCACGGAGGAAGAGGCGTTTCAAATCCGGCAGGCGGGAAACATGGCCATCTGGGGCGCTTGCGCCGACATAGCACCAGTTCCGCTACGACTCTCTGTTCCCAAGACGTCGACATCGGCATGTGCATCCATGATACTATCTTTTCCACCCCTAAACTTGCATGTGTCCGCCCAAGACTCTCGACAGCATCCCTTCTCCCATCTGCGTCGCTCGTTCCGCTCCACCCCATCCAGCCGGACCCTTGTGCTTGCTCGCGCTAGTGCTGCCGTTCCCGTCGCGCTACACTGCATTGAGCCAAGCCGCATACCGCACGTGTTTGTCCTCTTTCGGCCGCGATCGCTTTTCTTTCCCACCTTACATCAGCACTCACATTCGTAGACTCAGGCGGCCTTGTCTCTACAATGACTTGCCACCCCCACGATGCTTTCTTCTTTGTTCAGCGATAGCGGGACCATCAGGCCTGGTCCAGCCTAGCGGCTGCGCTTGAGTAAGCCCTGGAGTGAACTACGCGGAAAAAGTGTTGCATGCGCATGCGGGCTAGCGATCGTGGTATGGGCATCACGATGTGTTTCAGCCAGTTATGCGTCTATTCCATTGCAAGTGTCCTCGGAAGATCGACTTTGCATAGATGGTTCGGTGTTTTTGTGGCTTCCAGAGTCATGCAACTTATTAGAGCCCGAGACTAGTTTTCGTCTTCAATGTTGCATTACTCCTTCTGCCCGCAGCACCACTGTTTTCACACTGAACAACCTTGTCCCCCATCTTTGGCTTGCAAGCAACGCTGGTTTCACAGACAATCACGATGGTTACACGACTACACGACGCGTTTGGCGGCTGAACTACACCAATGGCACGGGGCCACTCGCCCACCCCCGCGCTGCCGGTGGTACCATGTCTGATTCGCCCCAGACAGCCACAGAAAACTCGTTCATGTCAAACGACGCACTCATCCACTGCATCGAGAACAACACGGCAGATCCAGCATCACGGTCCTCCTCGTCGTTGTGGCCATTGTGTCATGGCTACCCGACGAGACCGTAGCTGCTAGCCCTTCCATTCGTAGTTACGACGCGTGGGAAGTCCCTAGCGCTGTCGCGTAAGCCATCTCGTGCGGAATGCTCACCTCACCAGATCTCGTCCCGCAACCAGGACTATCGTCGTATCACGCCATTCTCCCGTGTATTTCCCGTCGCCTGCTGGCTGCCACGGCTAACACGCCTTGTGATCCTCCGCCTTCCCAGTCACCGCTTCCAACGGCCAACGCCATGCGTTCCTTCAATGCGCGCCTGTCACTCACTGGCCGCCATCAATCGCCACTTCTACCCGCTGTGATGTTCATGATGCGTCTAGCATGCATGCAATCGCCATGAATGCTTCAATGGCTGTGGCAATCACCGCCTACCGCCTTGTGAAGCCCCCATACTCGCCATAAAAGCTGCCTGCCTGCTTCTTTCCAATGCAAAACATCATTCCTCCTCATCATACATTACTATTGATTGCTATTTGCTATCAATTAACTAATCACTACCTCAACTATCATCTACCGTTCTATTCAGACGCCCTCCGACACTAGTGTTCATCATGTCACTACAGGGTGATGAGATTGCCGAGCAGCGGCCCACTTACCGACGTCTACCGACTGCCGAGCGACGTCAGATCAGCATCAGGGCGTTCAAGTCCTCGGATTCACTCTATAAACTTAAGGAACAGAAGGGTACTCTTGAGGCTGCTGTCGAGGTCAGTGCTACCATTCTTTTATTGCAATCCATCTAATTAACATGTGGACGTGGCAGCCCCTTTACGCAGGCCTTGCTGTCGCTCAGTCCAACGATGGCGACTTTCGCTACTGCATTGCGTTGCATGATGGAACCTACACCATTAACTGCGAGAGCAAATCTCTGGAGCTGTCCGGAGACGCAGGCGGAGGCAACTCATCGAACGAATCATCGCGAGTTGGATCAGGTGTCTCCACACCCATGTCTGTAGGAGATGTTTCCGAAGCTCTATCAAAAGCCTTCATCGGATTTCTCAACGACTACCGAGAGGCAAACCTTTCCAAGCCCATGGGTGCTACTCTGACTACGCAACTGGCTACTTTGAGTCCACACCTGGCCGTACGCCTATGGACTGAACTAGACATCATACCATTCATCTTCCCAGCCGACGCCAAAGACAAGGAAGAGCCATCGATACCCCTGGATCAAGAAGCCGAACGCATGGCGAGAAAGACGGTAAAGCAATTCAACGTCAAGGGTGAGTTACCCGTTCAGATGGGTCATCGTCGTCAGGTTTTGGTCGATCTCGACAGCCGCGTGCACATCGCCGAGCGCGAAAGCTACGATTCTACTGTCAGGATGGACACTACAGGAGCTGCAACGATGCATTACGCCAACTCACTCAAGAAGAGAAGGACCAAGATTGCCTTCTTCAACAGCACAGCACAAGGCGGAGGTGTCGCTCTCATGAGGCATGCTCTGATGAGATATCTGGCTCTTCTCGGTGTCGACTGCAAATGGTACGTTCCATACGGAAAGACCAACATCTTCAGGATCACCAAAGACAACCATAATATTCTTCAGGGTGTCGCCACAGCAGGCGAGCGTTTGACCGAGGAAAAAATGGCCGATCTTGATGACTGGGTCATCGAAGAGGCTGACAAGTGTCGTTGGGTCGAGCACGGCGGCCCGCTCTCATCTCGCGAGAAGGGTGGTGCCGATGTGATTATTGTCGATGATCCTCAGATGCCGAGCCTTGTCAAGATTGCGAAGGAGCGAGACTCCAGGTATGTACTCCCAAAATGCTTACTACCTCATCTAAGATGCTTTTTATACTAACTCTATTCTCTAGTCGCCCAGTCATTTTTCGCAGCCACATCCAGGTCCGAGCTGACCTAGCTGACGAAGCAGGTACCGCTACATCCGAGGTATGGAACTGGATCTGGAACCACGTCAAAGATTGTGATGTCTTCGTCAGCCATCCCGTGCGAGCATTCGTGCCCGAGGTTGTGACTCCAGAGAAAGTGGGCTACCTGCCTGCCACTACTGATTGGCTAGATGGCCTGAACAAGCACATGCACCCCTGGGACGAGCAGTACTACATCCACGAGCTGAAGGTCCAGTGCTTTTCAGCTGGTATGCGTCAGCTCGCACATCCGGATCGCAAATACATTGTTCAAATCGCTCGCTTCGACCCAGCGAAGGGTATACCAGATGTACTCGCATCATACGCACTCTTGCGCAAGGTTTACATGAAAGACACGCCCCTTGTAGACATCCCCCAGCTTGTCATAGCTGGCCATGGTGCCGTCGACGATCCAGATGCTACACGGATCTTCAAGGAAACCGAGACCGCTCTCAACGGGGAGTTCAACGAGTTCAAGGACGACGTCATCATCATGCGTATCGGACCATCCGACCAGATGCTCAACGCACTCATGTCCTGCGCTCATGTCGCCCTCCAGCTCTCCACCCGCGAAGGCTTCGAGGTCAAGGTCAGCGAAGCGCTTCACAAGGGCACGCCTATCATCGCTACTCTCGCTGGCGGTATCCCTCTGCAGGTCCAGGATGGAAAGTCCGGCTTCTTGGTCAAGCCTGGTGATCACGACGCTGTTGCCAAGCACTTGTTTGATCTCTTCACCGATTCGGAACTTCACTCCACTATGTCGGAGTATGCGAGCAAGCATGTTAGTGATGAGGTTAGCACAGTGGGCAATGCGCTGGCTTGGCTTTACCTGGCCGATGAGTTATCTAAGGGGGAGCATGTCGCACCTGACGGCCGATGGATCAACGATATGGCGAGGGAGAAGGCGGGTATTCCGTATCAGAAGGACGAGGATATCTTGGTCCGCGATGTGAGCTTGACGAACTGAGTGTGGATGTCTTGGAGATGCACTATAGATGGGTGATGAGCATGAGAGACATGTTATGTAATACCCTCGTCAGAAGCTACGATGATCTGTCCGAATTCACGGTTGACAGTGCCAGATTAATTTCATAAGTAAACAAGCACTGCAAAGAGCGACATATAGCGATGTGTTCTTTGGTCAGAGTAAGACACTGCCTTCAGTATTGCTTTCGTCTGTGAAATCCCAAACCATATTGCATATTATCTGTGTGCTAACTTTTGAAATGACCTCTGCTTTCTTAATTCGACTTTCGAATCTTTCATATGCTTGCTTTTGTTCTCTCTCGTCGGAGTCTCAATCCAAAGTCTCCTCCGTGCTAAGGTATTAGACCTGCATCCATGACGAGCTTTCCTATCATCTCCCTCGATTCTTGACCCTTGTACGCACCGAATCAGAGTTCTTCCAACATCTGCACGTGCTGTTCCCAATCGTCCCTAGACAGATCGTGAACCACGTAATTCCAGTGATTCGATGGTTTTCCGGCGACGATCCTCCAGTTGTCTAAGCGGAAACCTTTATCTTGTTGTGGGCTGACTATAGCATCGATACGAAGATCGACGCCGGAACGTAAATTCTTGAACTGTCTACTAGAACGAATACCGAAGCCCTGACAGAGACCCTGAACAAAATTTGAGATGCATTCCCGGTCCCATCCCATGAAACGATAATCCAATTCGGATGTCGCAACGGTGACTTCGACATCAGCAGAAACAGTGTCGGCTGGGCGTAAACGAGCGATTTCCACAAGATACGAGCTGCAGGTGTAAACGAATTGCCACATGGAGTCGGAAGATCTGGCGCCGGCGAGCGCTGCTTCAGGTGAAGTGGTGAGGCAGTCGTGCAAGTTATCCTGGATCCAATTGCCAGCTGCCCAGTCCATACGAAAACGCACTGGCTCCTTCACCATTTTCTGGAGTTTCTGAGCAATGATAGGTGAGGCTTCTTGATTGACGAGGCGACAGGTTGCCAGGATTGACATCGGCAATACGCGTCGGTACAGGCCAAGTTTACCATTGCCGTTCGAAAAGTCATCATCTCGTTTCATGCGGACGCGGGGGGGCTCGCACTTCTTCGTGGGGTTGTAAATCTCTTTCCTTGTCGCTACATCGATGGCTTTGTAGACCATGCAGCGCAACTCAGCCGGGAGATCGAGGAAGCGGAATGGTCGAGCTGACATGGTGATCGGACGCGAAAGGCTGAAGTGTTGAAGTTGTTGAAAGTGGAGGTAGGTGGAAAATGAGGATTGTGAGTGAGGTCAGATTAATGTTAGAAGAAGAGAGGAGGAGAGAGAGATTAGGTCGTAATAAAGATTTAAGTATTGGAGCTACTAACGCGTACGATGAGTGACGTATAGGGACGGGACTCAAAGTGAGAGACGATAACGGAAGGTGCGCCACGTGCTGGAAGCTCAGCTGCAGAGTCACGAATGTATGGTGCCAAGTGAGGGTATAAGTGCTGGGCATCAATATTACCTGCCTAACAACTAGCCAATGTATGCATCCAAGACGCATTCACACCTGTCCGTCCTTCTTCCAGTGCGCAAAGCAAAAGCTACAAACTTTTCATATCGAAACAACGACATACAGCCCACTGACATCCACGCAGAACCTAGATATCAGCAACGAAATGAAACCCACCCCACCTATCGCGAAACAGCATACCACCGGGCCTCCCATCCCTACCCTGACTAATCCGCTTCTCCAGCGTCCAATCACCCTCTTTACTAGGATCCCACAGCTCAATAGGACCAACCTCCCTATCTTCAGCATCAACACCATCGACCGCATGGCTACGCTGTTGCTGGTACCGAACATACTCGCTGAAGCGACTTAACACCAGATCGCCACTGCTGTCACGGACAGGAAGGGCCTGATTGGGATCGGGTGTGAAGCGCGCTGCGAGAGGAGACTCAATGGAGCAAGTACGAGGAGTGCCATGACCAGAGGGGAAACCGAGACGTGCTTCGATGGAACTAGCCTGGCTGCGCGGTGTCGAGGCTGTCGCTGTACTGGTGCTGCCGCGGTTGCTGGAGGGGAGGACCATACGTGTACCGCTTTCGCGCATGAAGGCTAGAGTCTCCTCATCGAGACTGTCAGGGCGAGGAGGACGAGGAGGTGGCGGACCGGGGCGCTTTTGAAAGGGTACTGTGACGTGGTCCTCTGGGATGGGTGGACTGCAGATTTGGGCCATGAGCTGAGGACGGGATATGGAGACGCTGCGATTTTGAGTCTTGACGAGAGATGCGCGCGATCCGCGTGCTGTTGACAACGATGGGAGGACAGGACGGCGTGCTTTGGGGAGAGGGACTGTAGTAGGTATCTGTGGAACAGGCGGAGGCGTTGGTGACTTCGTGGAGTCGTTGTCCTTGCTGCCGCCGAAGAGACGAGAGCCTAGGAAACGAGTCAACATTGAGTCGATATGTGCATGGATAGTGGAAAACATGCCTTTTTCTCTAAGTAATGCGAAGTTAGGGCGCGACTTTGATCTAAGCGGCTCTCCACCACGAGCGTGTTTGTGCTCTGGAGTGGCGGAGAGGCTACGTGAAGCTGGCGGAAGTGCCGGTGAGCTTGTTTGATACTCTAACTCTTCCAAATCCTCGTATTCGGGTAGGTTCTCGAAGCTATCGCCGTGCTGTCCTAGGGTGACACGCGTAGCGACTGGGGAGAGTGGCGTGGATGAGTTGGAATTGGAAGGCAGAGTAGGCAGTGGCTTGTTGAGCTTGTCGATCTTGCGTCCAAAGAATCGCGATGCTGCACATGTTTTTAGTGTGTTTCCGCCTACATGCGAAGCAGTGACTTACGCTTTTTCCGCATATCCACGTCCTGAATCCCGGCGTCAAAGTCGATGTCCGAACTGTCGGCGATAGCGGTCTTCTCATCACGACTTGGGCTATCTCTGAAGAAGTGTGACGCTATTTGTCTGTTAACGCTAAGGCTTTTGCGGTTGTGGAGCGAGAGCGAAATCCATCCCGGGCTCAACGCTGCCTATGGGAGAGAATAAGACCCTACCTTTGCTCCGAAGACTCTTCATCCTGACCAGTTGCGGCAGTTGGCAGTTGTGACAATTCGATTTTGTGTTAGTACGTAAGGTCGGGCAATCGTTGCAAAGGTCGCGTGATTGCCTGCAAAGAAGAATTAAAGCGATCGAGCGGGGGTGTGATTGGTGGTGCGTAAACAGGCGGGAGAAGACAACAGGAAAATGAACCTGCGCCCACTGGAAGTGCTCACTCAGGGTAGATCGCGACAAGTGCCAAGCAGCACTGGCACGTGCCGCTAGTGACATGGGATGGTGAAAGTGAGAGTTCACTCCCGTGATGAGCCGAAGGCAGGGAGAACCCTCGCTCGCCCAACAGTTAGTATGCCACCCCATGCTCTTGTCTGGGTCATATACTTCTCTTGCAGACAAAACAGATGACGTGGGAAATCAAAGTCAAGCGAAGAAACAACATAGGGAAGCAGCTCACCATCACGAAGTCGTGCCCAACGGAAACCTTCTTTGGACATGAAAACCTCGTGCCTCCCGAGGGAGACACTGAAGCCGAGCATCATGCCCTTATATTTTTTTCTTGATTTTTACTTGTGGTTTGTGGTGATGTAGTGATAGTCGAGTTGAGTCGTGCCTGGATCCAGATCATGGACAGCAGAGAATTGTCGGAGGAAGCTCACTTCTCATAGCCAGTCAAGACATTCCCTAAGGTGCCTATGCACCAAAACATGAAACATGGTGCAAGAAAACGCCCGATTTCCAGCTCTTCAAATCCCATGCCCATGCATCCATTCATGAACAATGACAAAAGAAACGCTTGCGCTGGACCAAAGAACCTGAGACGACATGCCCGGCAATGCTCACTACTTCCACGAAAAAGATGGCCACCAGCCATTGATAACGCCATAAACTCCAAATGAAGTGACAATACAATCATGAACCATAAACATGGAACAAATAGAAAATCCATATAAACAAGCGAATGTAGTGAGCCCAAACCATGCCCAAACATAGCAGGTCTCGTAGAAACAACGACTACCTGACGCTGGACTCGCCAGCCGGGCTGAGATTGAGCAAGCGTTTGAGATCCTGCTCCAGGGACAACGTATTGGAAGGGGTGGCGGTTTTCATGGGTGAGGCACCAGCAGTGGCAGCGGGGGCTGAGGTCTTGCGTTGTTTGGCAGCGACTGATGAAGGTACAAAGGACATCATGCTGGTAGGGGCCTTCGGAGCAGATGCTGGTGGAGCATTGGCCGCCGTATTTCCAGTCCCACCCATATTGCCTCGTTTCTGGTAAGTGTCGGGGCGAGGCTGTTGTGGCTGGTGTGGCTGCCGGCCAGGCGTCTTCCTGCTGTTGTTTGGACTTTGTTGGTAGGGCTGTACATGGGGTGCTGATGGACGGGGCCCGTTGGCAAAGCCTGAGTTACCGTTGCCTGGCTGATCTCGGGAAAAGGCGTTGGGGTCCATCATCTGAGTGGGAGGAACAGAAGGAAAGCTCTGGAAGTTGCCCGGTCCGATCATAGGAGACTCAGCCGAGATCTCGGTACGAAGACCAGAGTTGCGTTTCTTTGCGGAATCGCCCTTTGCGGCTTTGAACAAGGGAGAAAGATTACGGTTGCCATAGAAAAATTCGGAGTCTTGGTTCGGCGGTGGTGCCTGCGGTGTGGTGGGTCCAGAGGAATTTTGAGGAGGTCGACCGTCATGGAAAGGTGATGGTGTGTGACCTATCATGAAACCTTGTGGACCCTGCGCATCCGGTCGAGGCGGTGTTGCCGAGGGCTTCTTCTGCGACATTGAGAGACGATTCAGTAGGTCGTTCATAACATCATTGCCGTTGCCCTGCTGTTGCATATCCTTGAGCTGTGGAATCTTGGTGGGATCTGTAACGGAGCGATGCGAGGCGGGCGAGGCTGCTGGTGGGGGAGACATGTGTGCGTGCTTGCTTTCCCCATCAAGCTCTATGGGAAAGACGCCATTCATCGAGTGTGACGAATCATGCTTCAAATGCTGTGGCCTGGAAGTGTCCATTGGGTTGAAAGGTCCGTGGGAGGCTGGGCGTCCATGGTTGCCCTTGGCTCTCTCAGCTGCATCCGCCTTGAAAAGCAGGTCCAATGGAGATTGTTCATTACGAGGAGGAACGGCCACCGGGGCGCGGGAAGGAGAAGCAGAAGGACTTGGAGAAGCAGAATCAGAACTATCTTCGGGCGGAGGTGTTGGTGGACCAGCACGTGTCTTGGCCGGCACAGAACGAGAAAGAAACTTGGGTATAGGCAGAGCAGAAGGAGCCGGAGAAGCATGGAAGGTCGGACCGGCATAGGCGGCCTGGATCTTAGCCGGCGTAGCAGACGGATTGATCGGAACAGGCTCTGACTCAGGAGGAGAGAAGACGCGGTCGATGGAGGGATGGGACTGGTTGGGCTTCCTCATGTTGCGCGGTCCAGAGGGCATGTGCGCGTCTTCACCTGAGTGGGACGCGCCTTCCGCGTGGGCGAGCTCAGCAGGCATCTTACTCGGGGACGCTCCTGCCGCATTGTGTTGGTTCTGGTTGTAGCCATTGTGCGCGCGGTTGCCTCGTGGTTTGCGTTGCGACTGCCGGCCAGCGTTGGTATGCGCTGCTTGAGCTGGGCTCTGCGGCTTGCCCCGGGGAGCGCGTGGAGAGGCCGTCGTCTGTACTGTCGACATATGAAGCGTTGTCTGTGGAGTTGTTGTATTGTGATGGGGGGTGGGTTATCTGGTAGGGCGCAGGCGGACGCTCTTGGTTCGTGATGAGGTAGTGGGTTGGATGCGCGATGACGCGGTCTGTGTCTTTGTCTGTGTCTGATAAGGTGGGAATGTGCAAGGGTTAGATGTTGAAGTGATCATATCCAGATTCGCGGGGTATAGATAGGCACGCGCCGTTGGGTGAGATAGGGCGAAGAGTGAGGGTGTTGTGAGCAGAGTCGGTCGCATCGACGGTGAACGGCGCGGAGGTGGCTGTGATCCAACGAGGCTGATCTCGGCAAGGCGCACTGACGGTTGCGGCGGCGTAGGGCTGAGAGGTCGGGTTGGGTATGATGGAAGCGGGAGGCTGTCGGGCGCCCGTCTTTGAATCGCGAGGAGCGGTGGCATTATGGCGTTTGCTCGTCCGGAGGGTATTTGGACGCTTAGCGAAAGAATGTGCATTCCCTTTCACCTGGCACATCGTCCCAAGGT